CGTTGGTGTGAGTAGGGACATCCTGCCTCTTATCCCTGTTTAAGGCTGAGTCGTCTAATTTGGGACGCTTATCGTCCTGGGTTGGCGACTCAGGGGATGTGGGTGGACGGGGTGTTTTCGTCCTTTGTGGTAGTGGCGGTGCTGCCAACAGTTCCCCACTTACGGAAGCAACTTGGGCGGGCTCTGCGGCCTTGGAGGGCGCGCTACCCTTTGATTGGGGTGGTTGGATCTGCGAGGGCAGAATCCTAGTTATTTCATTAGTGAAAATATTCCTTTCGACAAGGATTTTCACTTGTGGTTTGGCTCGCCTAGCTTTGGCGGTGGTAGCGGCTTTTTTGCCGCGACCCATTGTGGTGTGTTTATGCAGTGTGCATCTATAACAGGTGTTTTAGAGCACACCGAAGATTTGCTTATACGCACTCTTTCTGCGCGTGTCTATTGGGCTGCTCCCGCACCGCACCCCACCGGGGGACGCCCGGAGGGAAATCCACCGATGAGGCCGGCTGTATCGGATATAACCACAATAGACAGCGGGTGGAGTGATTTCGCTGTTTTAGGCTACTGAGGTAGCCCTACCTCACCACTGGACCCTTTTTTATTAAAAAGGGCGACCAAGTAGCGAGCAGCTACGCGGTTGAACTTGGTTGAGCGCTGAAATGACAGAAAGCCAAGAACGAACAGCGAAAGAGGAACGAAGTGTCCTAGGCGGCTCGACGCGGAACGGAGCAATGCTCGACGCTCGGCGGAGTTCGCTTCGGAAGGCTTAGGCTGTGCACAACCCTACTGCAGATGCAATGAAGGCGTACAACAACGTTTACCACTCACTTGATCCTCTGCCTGGGTTGACGACGAAGTAGATTACTTAAAGTATATAAGCTATTATAGTTTTCTTAAAAGTACAAATTCGAACTAACGATTTACGCCAATGATTGCGAATTCTTACTTATAAAAAATAAGACACTGACAGATTCCCTTCATCACGTAAACAAGAAGCGATAACGAGGTTATTATTAAAACGATTACGTATTTATCTCCATATTGCGACGAACGAAATGCGCAGTAAGTATGTGTTTGTTGATCATCGAAGGATACACAGAAAACATATAATGTAAACAGATGATTCCAACTAAACAGGCGAACTCCCGGTAAATAAATATATTGGAGTGCGGCCAATAGAAAATGGCGGCGCATAGGTGAGCGACATGCGTTATACACAACTCTATTTTCACTAGTCAATAAACGACGCCGAACGCAATCAGCGCTATTGATAAAGCGTATGACGTGCGACCGAGATGGTGACACAAAACGAATTTGATGCAACTACGAACTATTCAATATATACACACAGTTGAAAAATAGGCTACGCTATAACTATATGAGAAGCATTCCTTTTTTTTTTTATTAGGGTGCCGTACCCAAAGGGTAAAACAGGACCCTATTACTAAGACTCCACCGTCTGTATGTCTGTTCGTCTATCAACAGGCTGCATGTCATGAACCGTGATAGTTAGATAGTTCAAATTTTCACAGATGAATGAAAATATTTAGGTGCCGTTTTTATAGATAATGGTACGGAACCGACTCGCACTTGACCGGTATTTTTACAACTTTCGCCAATAGAAGTATTTTTTCATCGCATGTTTAATAAGCTTGAAATGTTTGTTAGCACAAAATTTAAAATCCAACTCTCTATATGATGTAGCATACAGTTCTCGATTAGGCATCGAACCCACAACACACCACGCAAAAGCAGTTGGGAGCGTAACCACCTAAAGTCTAAAGCACTTCGCCCATCCATGATCTCAAATATCGGTAATAAGTAAGATCTAAAGAAAATTGTAGGGACTAAAATGGAGGCAAGCTTTTAATCATAACCCCCACATAAATTATACAACGGTAAAAATCGTATACTATATTGTAAATACTATGTAATATATATTTTTTTAGAACTAGCCAGCACTTGACTGCCATCCCACCTGATGGTAAGTGGCGATGCAGCCTTTGATGGTAAGCGCGCTAACTCAGTAAAAACCTATTCACTCTTGCCTTGAAGACGCCTACGTTGTAATGGGACGGAAAGACGGACGTAGGCAGCTTGTTCCGTTCCTTAGCTGTACGGATGATAAAAGACGAAGAAAATCGCTTGGTTCTTCAAATGTTTAAAAATCTTTTCAGTTAACACTTAATAATTAATTATATAAATGCATTTTTAAAAAGAAATGCAGTTATTGTGAGTCACTTAACCAAGAAATAAGCAACATAACTGTTTAGTTTATGAATGAAATGTCTACTTTAACCAACTACCTTATCTATTATATAAGTTTTCATTATTTCATGCAAGGTCTGTACGAATTCTCTCCGAAACACGCAAAACTAAAGACACGCAAACAAAGACGCTTGCAAATCTTGCTCTGAATAAAAAGAATAGAGTTTACACTACAAAGGCCAACGAGCTATAAAAGCAGTGCATCGGCTCTTCCGTTGGGAGGTAGAGCACAAATACACAAATACCATGCATGACAACAATTCATTTTGTTTAATGCATGAGGCGGAGATACTGGTGCGGTGAAGGACGATCTTGCACCGAGACCTCGTTAATAACTGACACGTAACATAGACTATAAACCTAATTGAACATAATTATATAAATGTTTTTTATTTTAAGTTGATTTACGGCCTGCATTGTTAAGCCCTATATAATAATGATACATTTATTCAAAACGCCTACTACTTGAATGTACAATAGCAATGAGACATATTTCTTTTATTAATAAAAAAAAATCTGACTAACAAACAACCATGACATAAGTCAACAAATTGTTAGAGTCAACTATCGATACTAAGGAATCTAGAATTATGCTCTTGGAACATTGACCGACCTTGAAACTAACGAATAAAAAATGGAGCGGCGTAAAAGAAATTCAGCATTACAATAAACTTCTCCATAGGAAAACTATTAAGATATATTAGAATTCTTCCAAAACGAGTATCATTAAAAATAATGCCAAGAAATAAATTTGCTTTAACACTTCGATATGTGACGTATAATTTATTACGTAAACATCTTTGAACTAGAATCGCTTTGTCGCAAACGAAATAATAACAACGTGTTGTTCAGCCCTACTGGAGTACAACGCTGTTGGACGGGTTGAACGCTCAAATAAAGAGCTATTTCAGTGACGCGGAGGTGAATGACAATTCAGCGTAGACGTATCATAACGGCCAATATGTATAACGTTGCTCTCTGAGGACCACGACATGTACTACACACGTCAGAAGCCAAGCGGTATTTTTTTTCTAAGATAGTTGATTAAATTTGTATATATATCTTTATATAAACGATAAATAGCAGGAAATATAATAATTTTAGAAAACTCTTTACGCAATGTTAGTTTTTATTAGTAGCTTCGCTAGCGTAATTGTATTAAAAATATAAAAACTATTTTTTAATAAGATTAAACAATGGTCAAACGAGATTAAACAATGGTACGAGCTTCGTTTAATATTTTTTTTTTTGAAATCCACTCATCCAGCCAGTTTAGTTCAGTGGCGGTATTTATGATAAAAAGGTATTGTCATAGACTGCGGGTTGTTTAAACGAACTAGAAAAATAACACCACGCGCATGAAAATCAAGCATAGTAATTAAGGCGGACCATTTTTCATCTCACGCACACATTCACATCATAGTAAGCCGACCGTCCTCCACTACAAGGCACAAAACGGATAAGTGTCGTCAGTTAATTATCCCGACAGCTTGGGTAATCCATTTTATTTGATTATTGTAATTATTTTCAATTATTGATTAAGATTATTTTTATTACTTTCTTACAGCAAATCAAACATAAAAATGATTGGATAAACATCAAACAACAAACTTCAAAGGCGAAGATCATTCATCATTGGATTCCATCAACAACTAGCGTGATATTTGCATATATAACGTTTTCCTAAAAACAATGTGTACACCACGAAAAGTGGACCGCATGGCTGCGTTGCCATACCACACTACTTATATAACAAAGAGGAACTCTTGTTTCGCGGTAAAATTTTTAAATTGCATGCATTTGAATCATGTTTTTCTAACACCATTTCTTCGATTTAGCGAATGTTTATTATTTATTGTTTAAAAATATTGTATATTTACAGTCCTTACTTATTATATATTATTAATTTGAGTATATATTTTGACTTTTAGCTTTAGGTGATGATATAATACAGGTTGTGAAAAATAGCATAACATGTCTTATATTGCAATTCTAGCTACAATTAATCCACGTTTGATTTAAATCGATTTTATCCGTTTTGCCGTGAAGACGACTGAGTTACTTTCGAAGTTATAATATTAGTAGGTATATAAAGCAAAATTTTCTGTTTATAAGTAGTCGTGATTCCCCAGTGTCCGGGCGCTCGACTTTAATTCAATTACTCGAGCGACCTGAGTTAGATCCCCGGTGCCGGCACCAATGAAATTTGTAATTTTATGTGTTGACTTATCACGTGCTCAGCGGGGAAGGAAAATATCGTGAGAAAACCTGCATATTTTCGAATGACAAAAGAAAATTCAAAAATGACTGAAGTCCGTCAATCCGCAGAGAGATCGCGTGGTGGCTAATGCCCTGATACTATTCTTACATATAAATGCATGCCCAGCAGTGGGACATAAGCTGTTAATTTTCTTTTTATTTTAAATAAATCTTTACAGCTTGTGTGTCGACTCTATCTTCCTTGTAAGTAATTTGTCCACATATAAGTTAAATTTTCATTTACCCAGTATCACTCACACATGATCGTAACATACTTCACTTTAGATGTGTGTGGTTTTTTATTTCACTGTAGCTTTGAATACTTGATTAATTTTGTGACACATTTGTTTGTTATCTTAGATTTGTATGTGAATTAAAATGAGTTATGGTCAGAAAATTGGATTCTCTTCCACATTAGCTGCAAGTTTGTTTCAAGTAAAAACTAATAAAAATGTAGTGGGTTTGTCATCGCTTACCGGCGAGCGACCTCTCGTCGGTGCGGAAGCGGACCCTCCGCTCGTTCCTCTGCAGCAGCTCGGCGAAGTAGTTGAGGAAGGGCTGCCTCGCCTCCGGGCAGAGGAGTATGTTGTGGCAGATCGTGTGCAGGGAGCTCCGGCTGGCCTCCACCTCTCGTTGCAGCGCGAAGGCGAGGCTCCGGTCTGCAGAGCCGGTCGCGAACAAGCGCTCGGCGAGACGGGGGTTCTCCTCGGCGAACAGCGAGACCTTCGACGAAAGGGACACACATGTATTTTTTTTTTTTTTCCAAATTGGAACGGATTTTAGTCGGCTAATGTTCATCGATGACGAATTAAAAAGTGGCCAGATACACTTTTGTCATGTACTTAGTCAGCGAACAATAGACCATAAGAGCAATTACGTTTAATCTCATTGATTGCAAACACACAACAAGGTACCCTGAATGGTTATAAATTGCTTTTATGGCTTTTAACATTTACGTATACTCAATATTATTACAACAATAAATAACAGAAAAAGTATTAGTAAGATCGTAAATTTTACAATAAACAAATACACATTGAAACAGTCACATGTTCCTTTAATGATAAGTAATGATGTCAACAGATTTACGAATAAATCTTAAATAATAATTTTAATTGACAGTTGGCGAATAAAGTCACGCGATAAAAGCAGTTTACACAGTCATTATATGATTAGTCATATAATGACTGCGTAAACTGTTAGCAGTTTAAGGATGACCATTCGTTTCATTTACCAGTAACCTTTATTAAGGTATACAAGCGTCGTAGTTAAAAATTGTTAGTAGTAAAATTTAAGTCGCTCATCAAGCTATGGAGCCGGCTATGCTCGACATTTCTCTGCGAGATGCACGTATCCGCAGTAGAACCAAGTTAACCAATATAGCTCAGAAGATAAGCTGAAATAACAATGTGCCGACCATATAGCTCGTAGAACCGATAAACGTTGGGAAAGAAAATTTCTTGTGTGGCAGTTTCGTATGGGCCTAGATGGAGGACTTAGGCACACATGCGGGAAGTCGATGGAGGTGGATAATGCTTCATGGCAGTCTGTGGGAGGCTTATATCCAGCAGTGGACTTTGACTGCAATGATGATGATACTTGAAGTATTTACACTAGATACACCCGCGTTCCAGGGCGGTTCTCACCGCCCCCAGCCACCGACTAACCAAGCACAGTCAACGGCCATCGGGGTTACGGTCCGCACCGAACCTCGATGGCCCGTAGGCGAAATGTCAAAATTAACGCACGCATGAGTACATGCGCGGCATTACCCACTGAGGAGGGCCTCAAATCCGTGGGTTCCGGCTATCCCACCGGTTCGATGAAGCTTTAATAGTCTAAGGACTGAAAGCGTAACATCAGTTCTACAAATACTTGAAGTACGACTCACGGCGAAGAAGGGCCCTAGGAAGCTGCACCGGGCTATCTCCCTGCCCGGCGCCGTTGTGACGGGGGCGGGGCAGAGGCTGGGCAGGCGGGCGATCAGCGCGCATATCGGGCGCAGCGCGTGTCTATGGCCGGCGCGCAGCTCGCAGAGCGCCCGCAACGCCCGCAGGGGCGAGCCGTGCCCGCGACCGTTCAATGGCGAAACGCGCCGGCGCATCTCCTCCCTGATGCCCATCAGCAGCGGCACGAACACCTGAACGGGTCGAACATAAGTTTGACGGAGGATTAGGGATGTCGATAAAATATCGATATGTCGATATTTTCATCCGATATATTTAGATCTGATACGTCGATTCAAAATATTCAATATCTAAAAAAGTATCAAAAACGATATTTTTTTCGAATCTAGCATCACAGAGTCCATAGGTGTCAAATATTTAATACCTGACATACCTTTTTTTTTTGGGCAACGGAGTATCTACGACCTATATGCGATATATCAATATTTTCTCTTCGATATATCGAGGCCGATACGCATAATCGAGACGACGTCTAGCCAGTAACCACTACACTTGCTTTTAAATAAGCTTTATAGGAAATAGAATAAATTACATGTAATAAAATGCATTCATTATGTTTGGTATGTATACAGGGTGGCTTTTCTAAAGGTGCCCAAATTCACACAGAAGGTTCAGACTCGGTAGTAAAATCGTTTATTGAAATAAAAACAAACTTTTTTTTTAAATTGCCATTCCATTCCCTAACTCCCTATAAATGCGTCGTATACTTTTGAAACGAACTTGTGTGCGTGTTAATGTAATGACCGCGCGTAAAATAAATGGGTTGCCCATAAATCACGCACTTTTTGAGATAAGTTCAAATAAACGTATTTAATTAATTACGAGTGATTTTAAATATTTATCATTTTTATATAACATTATTTATGTCTAGAATTTAATAAAAAAATGGATACACTTAAAAAAGCCTCCCTGTATATAGCAGCCCTGTTGACCACACAAAATATATTTCAGTTTTGTTCTGAGCAGTGTTTGTTATTGTGCACATTATTTGAACACTTTCAATCTTTCAAGTAGCAAACCTTTTTTAACATTTAAATAAATATTTACCTCATCAAAGGCTTCCTGATCCAAATAAGTAGCCAGAAGCAATTCCGGAATTAGGCCAATTGGGGTATTGCCAATCAATATATATGGAAGCAATGGGGATTTTCTGCATTTTTCCAAATTGAATTTCCCCCGAAGAACTAATACCAGATGGTTCACGAGCAAAGTTCTCAAATTTTGTAAAAGATCACTTAAAGGTGGTTCAGAACTCTTTTTCTGGTGTTCCCTTTCATATAAGTTGATGTTGTTGTAAAATCTCAATATGTAGCTAACAGTTAAACCTTGAGTAGGGATAGCCTTGGGTATAGGTAATGTTGGTGCAGGACATTCTGCTTTATCAGAACTTGGTGGGTTTGTCTCAGAACCAAGCTGTCCACTTGTCAAAATATCTTCACCATAATCCTCAATCAGTTTTACTGAGATTTCAGAAACTGCAATCAGTTTCTGATTCAATGGATCAGATCCATCTTCAATTTGCATTATGACATCCATTAGTGCTTCTGATGCTAATTCGTTTAAGCTGAGTTTGGGATTATCTAGCAATGAAGCAGCCACTGTAGGTACAAATATTCCTCCTGCAAGATACAATAAGATTTTTCATTTTTTTTTGTGTATTTAAATAAAACTTAAAGATAAAATTTTAATTGAATTTCATTAAAATGGAGTAGCTTATAATGAATAAAGGGATTTTTGAACAAAACTCAAAATTGTAAGATGTTGAAAGATTAAAATGGCTATTGTATGTTTCCAGATGAGCGTCTATTTTGAAATGTAACAAATGAGATACAAGTTTGATTTCCACAACTGAAGACACATTACTTAATAAATCAGTTTCCTACTTACCAACACTGTCTTCCGACCAAGATACCTGAAGAATCTTTGAAACAATATGACGAAGTTGATCCTCTGTGAGTTCAGTACAACTCACTGTCCTTGACCTGTGTATTTTTCTTGCTGGTGATTGTGATGGATCATCTTCAACCTTAAGCATTATAAATTAGTGTTATCATAATTGTAAGAAAGTATGAATGAAATAAGTAACCTAAGGCTTTCCATATTAATTATATAAGAACAAACCCAAATATTAACACTGATGACTAGAAGTTATAGAGCCCTTTGTTACATAAAGCTATGTGTATTTTACTGTAATTTGTTTTAATTAAAATATCTTAGATATGTGGTACCTGGTTTTACTTCTTTGAGGATTTTTTTTTATCTCAAATTTTAGGATAGTTACAGCAAAAGTTAACTTTATTAAGCACTAGGTTAAATAGTATGTGTTGTTATCATAACATATTTATTGTACACACATAAGGCATTTACAAATTGTTTTCACTTATATATTTCAATTTAATGAATGAAACACGAATCACCAAGCCAACCGGGCTCCAAATTAAAAAGCATAATTTATACAATAATTCAATACATTATAAATTTCTACTTACCTCCATTGGTTCTTGCTGTGACTGTTCAGATTGTGAATTTCTTTCTGAACCATCATCCACTTCCATGGATAGACAACGACGGGAACAGCTTGCTGATGTCTTACTAGTCCTAGGCCGTACTGGAGGTGGTTCAACAAATTGTGGAGGTGATATAGACCTTGAGGTACTATCTTCTCTTGTCGAGCCACCTTCTGAACCAGCAACAGTTGATTGCGGCAAACTTCCAACTTGAACAGAGCCACAACTTAACAATGTGTCATCTCCCATTGAATCAAAGCTGTTATACTGTCGGGTTTGTGAGAGATCTGTCATTTTGGTATCAGGCATCTCATCAAGCAAGTTGTTGTCAGTTTTTTCAGTTACAATCAACCCATCTGCTGGGATTTTATTCTGATTAGCCACTTCACAATTACTGCCTCCATTTGAGAAGTTATTTTCCCTATTTGTATTGGCACTATCAGATGATGTGTTTGATTCTGTAGAGCCTCGAGGTGACGGTGACAAACGAAGAGATGGTTGCTGTATATTGATTATATCAGCGGAGGGCACAGACGCACCCGGAGTAACAGGTGGGCTGGTGGACGCTGGAGTTGAGGCAGTACCTCCAAGCGCAGCAAGCCGTGCTAGCCGACGGCGCCGTATCTGCAATCAATGTGGTCGGTGTCATTAGCACGTGTATTCTTTCATGCACACCAGTATTAAACAGCCCCACACAAACGCTTTGTTTTGTTACGAAATTAGATTGCCCATACGCATTACGCCAAGGTCCGTATACAAATATTCAACTTACCTCCTCTTGACTCAATTCACTCATGACGTATGATATTTCTTTGTTTTGAAGCTATAACTAGTAGAATTTCTTCACAATTTATGCCTATGAGAAATGATTCAACAAGAAAGAACAACGGAGCAAACCACACAACGTTAAGCAGTCAGTCACCTCACGGGCTCAGCTGAGTCGAATGGTTATTTGACGTTTGTTCTTGGTTTGGTATAGATGACGAGAAAGTATTGAAAATACACGCGTCATCCTCACACCAATACCATTATTTTTATGTATACTGTCATTAATAGTCTGGGATAAAATTCTATAGTGGCAACAAAATCATTCGATTTTAGAGAGGAACGTTACACAAGTATTTTCTTAAATATACGTATCACAAATTAAATTTGCAAAAATTAAAAAGAATTTATCACTGATTAATGATAAGAAGCAATAGTGATAGTGAAATAATTAGGTATTGAACAACTTTAACGAGCATATACAGCGCCGGTTCCGAGCATAGATAAGACATATATATTACATAATGGTGGTGCCAAGTAAAGAGCGAGAGGGGCGAGAGGAGCGCTCCAGACGCCAGGTCAGGTATCAAGGGGCACAAAAAATCAAGTGCAAAAACAAATTTAAAAAAAAAATTGAGAGAGTGGGTAGTTTTACTTTGCTAAAACAGATTTTATTATTCAGAGACTGATTGAAAATAACAAAAAATACTAATTTAATTACATTACGAAGAACATTGTTTATGTTAAAGAAGCAGGAATGTAATAATTAGAGCTATTTATTTTTATTTGAAAGTAGTTTGTAACGATTAATGTCATATTATATTTTTCTTCACTAGATAACAGATTTTATTATTGAGTGACAAATTGAAATCAATACAAAATTTCAATTGAATTATGTAGCAGTAGAAACTATCTCTATGTTAAAAAAGCAGGGGTATAATAACTATATGATTTGAAAAAATTGGTTATTATTATTTATATAACAGCCAAAGTACAATGCAAAGTGAAAGCACCGACTAAAAGGCGGTGAATTAAAATCTCGCTTTACTCTGTCAAAGGTTAGGGTGGGCACTGAACTTAATTAAATAAGTAATAATACCACGGGAACATAGTATTGGCCATGCTTAATGCATTCTATTCTAAATATCGCAGGAATAAATTAAGGACAATTCACCAAGTGCTACCAGAAGTTTGTGTACAGTTTATATTAGTTAAACTGATGATTACAGTCAGAGACGTAATATTTTTACGGTACTACTTAACTATGATTTATTACGTATTACAATTTTTAATATGAGAAATAAAAATTTACATCGTACCATACATGTTTGCATATTTAAATAACAAACATAACAAAGTACAAACACGTTTTTGAACGAATTACTTTATGCAATGGCCGCATGTCTTCATTTGTTTACGTTTTGATTGTGTATAAAAATAAAAATATAACAATAAAGTTAGTGTAACATGTAGTTTAGACAACAGGAAATAAACAATAATGTTATGTGAATTGTGATAGTGTTTTAAAATCATTTAATATTTGGTTATAATATAAAAACATAGAATTTCGCTTATTAGAAATAACATCTAAATATTGTTTTTTTATTGTTAAAAACCTTTTAAATATGACTACGTATCAAGTATCGGATTTGGTCTCTGGACTAAAGTCTAGGTATGCGGACACTAGGCACAAGGCTATCCGTGAATTATTGCATTTTGCGAGGACTGATCTGCGGGAAATGTCTCAGGATTCTTTAACCCAAGTTCTTGATGATTTCAACCAACATATACATTCACTGACCTCCAGTTATGATTACTATGAAAAAAAAGCTGGTATCCTAACAATAGGTAATGTAAGATTATAATAAGATAAAGTTTATTATCTTGTCAGTATTAAAAATTACTCACTGAAATTCTTTATTTTCTCAATTTAATAATTCTTTTTCTCGTTTTAGTTTGTCTTATTGGAGGAGATATTGAAACGACAAAGACAAGGTTAAATCGCTATGCTCAATACTTGAGGAATATTTTTCCTTGTAATGATGTCAGTATTTTGGAGTTGGCTGCTAAGACTATGGGCCGGTTGGCTGTATCTCTTGGTGTCAAAAGAGGAGAATATGTTGAAGTTGAAATAAAGAGGGCATTTGAATGGTTATCTGAAGAAAGGAGTGAAAGTAAGCGATTGTCAGCAGTCTTAATATTACGGGAGCTTGCAATTGCTATGCCATCATATTTTTATCAACACATTGGTGGTTTTTTTCAAAACATTCATACTGCACTCCGAGATCCAAAGGAACAAATTAGAGAAACTGCTGCAAAAGCCTTGAGAGCTGCATTTGTTGTTACATCACAGAGAGAGCAGCCTGATCAAAGTAACAAAGCTCATTGGTATTCCGATTGCTATAAAGAAGCAATGACCTCTTTTTCTGACCATAATCTGAGGGAAAGAGGTCTAAACAGAGATGAACATGTTCACGGTGCCCTGCTCATTTTGAATGAACTCTTAAGATGTTCTAATGCTGCATGGGAGAAAAAGTACACAACACTTATGCAAAAACTAGATGCAGAACAAGAAATATCTGATGAAATGCTTTCTCTTAGCTCCAAACTACACAGCACATGGGCATCACAAAGTTTCTCAGAGGAGAAAAATTCACCTATTGCTATTTATGAGTCCAATATTTGTAAAAAATTAATTATAGAAAGATATGAAAAGATAGCTTCTGGTAAGTGTTAAAATTACATTCAATGATTTAGTCAGAATCTCTCCAGGGCCAAAAATTATATCTGGCTTAAATATTATACAAATGTCTTAAAAAAATAACTAAGAAGTGTGTGTAACTGTGTACATATGTGTTTTGAGGACTCCATGGCACAGTTATCAAGGTACTGGCTTGATGGCGGGGGTTGTGGGTTCGATTCCCACAGAAGTATTTGTGTAACCCAAAGATAATTGTTTCAGATCGGGGTGTTAATGTCATCCTACAGTAAGGGGGCAATGTTTTCGAAGGGTAGACTACAATATGTAGATCTTTCTAAGTTGCAGTAGTTTTAGGGACTTAACTAACCAAACCTTTCCTTACACACAAAATACTAATATATCTAGTAATAAATAGATTAAAACACTTATGCATTAATTATGTTCAGCATTTATTTTGTGTATTTTGTTTTGCACCTGCGTCAAATTTTCTCTACTCCCAGGGCCGACTGGAAGAGAATGTTTATTATAATTAAATTTGCCTTTTATTTAGCCTTAAGTTGGATTGTAAACAAGGAATTTTTTAATAAAAAAATAATTAGAACATTAATTACAACATATTCATTCTGTTTTGTGATGCCATGATGATATTATTTTTTTTAAATAATTATACTCAATATTAAGACTATCCTTGTTGTTTGCTTACTGTTTAAAAAAAATTGTAAATACTTAAAAGATCTTAGTTCAGACTTATTAACTAACTAGCTATCCCGCACAACTTCGTCTGTGCCAAATCTACTGGGTCCATACGTTTCGACTTTTAACATAGAGCATATTGGATACTTACTCAATCTTATGGAACTCACAGATAACTATAACTGTTTGTAATGTAATAAACAAATAATTTACAATTAAATAATATTGCTTCTATAAATTTTGATTTAAGCTAACCTATCTTTCAAGTTGGATACGATGTGCAAATTTGATTAAAATTGGTTAAGTAGTTTAGGAGTCCAGCGCGAACAAACAACGTGACATGTAATTTATATACATTAAGATTATTTATGGAAAAATTATTTTCAAAAAGTTACTTGACAATTTTATAATTATTGTTGCAGAGGTAATGGCTCAACAAATCTCCAGATCTAACAGTGTTCATCAAATGTTATTGTTAATAATACCAAGATTAGCGGCATTGAATAGAGAGGCATTCTCAAGGAAACATCTGAAATCTACAATTAATCATCTAATTACCTTCTTGAGAGGGAGAGAAAAAGAAAAAGCTATGGCATTTACAACTCTAGGACTTGTCTGTGTTGCAGTTGAGTCTGATATACAAATATATTTGGGTAGAATTATAGAAATCATCAAATTGACATTGCCAGTTAAAGATGTGCCAAAGAAACGTAATGAGACGGATACGCCATTATTCAACTGTGTCACTTTATTAGGATTTGCTATGAAAGAGGATGTTGCTAATGAGGTTAAGGAATTACTGGATCCAATGTGCGCCACAGGATTAAGCCCTCAACTGACTACATGCTTTAAAGAGCTAAGTCAAAATTTGCCCTCATTAAAATTGGAAATAACAGATCGCTTACTCAATATTTTATCATTGATCCTCAGAAAGAAACCATACATCTGTAACAATTCAGAGCAACACTTTGTACATATGCTATCCACAGCAATATTGGGTGAATCACATGATGCTAGTAAGCTGGTCTTGGCGTTACGTACTCTTGGTGCTTTTGATTTTGAATGGAATAATACTTTAATGTCTTTTATCAGGAGGTGCACAGACTACTATCTGCTCAGTGAACAGCACGATATTCGCTTAGAGGCTGTCAAAACAGCGGCAAAGCTATTGATCAAAGCCATTGAGAGATGTGCTCAAACTAATTCACGTACATTAAGTTTGATTGTAGATGAATCCCTTGGGAAACTACTAGCTGTCGGGAGGTCAGATTTCGACCAAGAAGTTCGTTATAAGGTTCTTGAAGTTTTCACCAATCCAATCTTCGATAAATATCTAGCTAACGGAGAACATCTAAATTGTCTTTTTGTTGCAATAAACGATTCAAACAGTGACGTAAGCGAATTGGCTTTGTGTGTAGTTGGCAGATTGAGTAATATAAACCCAAGTTACACGACTCCAACATTACGTCAGTATTTCGTACAAGTTCTCATAGAATTGCAATACTCGGAATCGACCCGCAACAAAGAACAGTCCTTGACGATGATAAACAACATCATTTCGCATGCACCGGGTATAACGCGACAATTTGTTGATACTATACTGAAAGTCCTCGTACCGAAACTGAAAGAGGAGGCCAACAATTCGACCATGGTCTCGATAATTTTAAAAGCAATCGGTGATCTTGCTGAAATAAACGGCGGAGGGAATGCGCTAACCCAGTGGCTTCCTGAGCTCATATCGATTCAGTTGGAAATACTGGCAGACCCTAATCAAATTGAAAAAAGGAGTGTAGCGCTGTGGTCGTTTGGCCAAGTGGTTAGTGCAATTGGGTACGTTGTAACACCTTACATGGAATATCCCAACTTAATGGATATGCTTTTAAATTTTTTGAAGACTGAACAGCACACAAGAGACCGTAGAGAGACGATCCGCGTGTTAGGCCTTCTGGGAGCCTTAGATCCGTACAAGCATAGAGTAAATCAGGGATTGATAGATTTTCAGACAGTGTCAACGCTAATTCCCATTCCGGAGACGGCTGCAAATTATGACAATTTTGACACTAACGTGAGCGAAATGTTAGTTAACATGTCTCCTTTGGTTCTTGATGAGTTTTATCCGGCAATAGCCGTTACATCTTTGATGAAGATGTTGAGGGATCCACTATTAGGAAGGCATCACAACAGTGTAGTGCACTCGGTCACATTCATTTTCCAAACGTTAGGTATTAAGTGTGTCCCATACATCTCACGGGTGACGCCCAGTCTTCTGTACGTAATTCGTACCACCGACAATAGTAACTTTCGAGAGTTTTTGTTCACACAACTGGCCCAACTCATATCGGTCGTGAAAATCCACATACGAGCATATTTGGAAGATATTTTTGACATTATAAGAGAATACTGGACGCCAGACAGCCAACTACAACCTACACTTATTTTGTTGGTGGAGCACATCACTGTTGCAATCGGTACGGAATTTAAAATATACCTCAGGAAAATATTGCCGAACATCTTACGCGTATTGAAGTACGACAGAAGTAAAGACAGATTTCTAACAGAGAAACTGTTGTTAGCGATACAAAAATTTGAGAACAATTTAGACGATGTTCTACTTTCCGTCGTGCCCGCGGTCACTGCACTGTTTGATGGTAGAAATATTCCTACATCGATCTCGAAATTAGCTATGGAAACGATCGAGCATTTGTCTATGTACCTATACTTTAGGCCGTATTCAGCGGTCATTATTCAGACCCTTGCCAAAGTTTTAGATAACAACCCTGCTTTAAGACAAACTGCCATGAATACGCTATGCGCTTTGATAGTTCAGATGGGTCGAGAATACATAGATTATATCCCGTCAATCGATCGGATTCTATCTAAGCACAGAATTCAATGCCCTAATTATATAGTGCTGGTCACACGCTTACAAGATGCTTCAACGCTCGCCTCCGACGACGATTATTTGGTCGAGACACGATCGAGATTGCGGAATCAAAAAAGTGATGTAAGTACTTTTACTCCCAAAGATTCTTTTAATAAAATTGTGACCGGGAAGTCAAGTATTGATAACGATAGCAATAATCCGGTAACCAGTATACCCTTTTTTTATGTGAGAAGGTGGCAAGCGAGCTGGTGGTTTATCTGATGTTAAGTCATAACCGCCGCCCATGGACATTTGCAACACCCTTTGTATGAAGTGGGCCCCGGTTACCTCACTCACCAGATGAAAAGCAGAAGTGTAAAACTTCCATTTCACGCCTGTCTTCTATGAGGTCGTGGCTCTTCCCTGGACGGACCTGCCCATTCGTGTAACAGCGAAGGCTGTTGCGTGGCCCTACCACCTAATATTTACGAGAATACTAGACATTGTCGTATGAAAATAACCATTTGAGATATTGTGTATAATCTGTTGGGCCATTTTTGGACTCTGTTAGTGTGATGAGAATACCTTAGAGCTACTGCTGCTGCCCGAATGGTCAAGTTCTACCGAAAGGTACCAAAGGAGTGGTACATCTGCGTCTTCTCTGGTGAGTGTAACCGCGGAGATTTCTGACTTGTTTCAAATTTTTCAGGTGATGTCTAATACTAATGAAACACAAGTTCAAAAGCTAACATTGAACGTTAACAATTTGAGGAAGTGTTGGTCAGTGAACAGCCTTATATCTAAGGAGGACTGGTTGGAGTGGCTCCGTCAGCTGAGCGTTGGTTTTCTCACAGAATCTAACAGCCCCGCCATTAGGTAAACCTTCCATTTAAATGTATGATTTGAACAGTTGAATAACAACAATATTCCCCTAAAACCAATATAGTCCCAAAGACCTATGCGACCTAGAAGATCTATCATTATATTCCCTCGATAACATTGTCCTGTGTTCTAAGAACGTTTTACATACATAAATTTCACATAAGCAAACACCCAGACCTGAAACAATTTTCTATGGATCACACAAATAGTTGTCTCTTGTGGGAATCGAACACATGACCTCAGCCGCTGAAGCCAACACCTTGGCAACTGCGCTACTTTCATCAAACGTTTCTTACCCTACATCAGGGATAATTGTTCCTATTTATTTAAATACAAGTTACTACTTTGCAGGGCGTGTTCAACGCTATCGCAAAACTACCCTCAGCTTGCCAGTGATCTGTTCAACGCGGCATTTATGTCCTGTTGGACTGAGCTAGGCGAGCAGCCGCGCAAAGAACTGGTCGCTGCTTTGGAAAGGGCCCTAACAGTACCCGACGTGCCCGAACTAGCGCTTGCTGTTTTGAACCTGGCAGAGTTCTTGGAGCATTGCGAAAAAGGCGCTTTGCCTATATCGATTAAGCTATTAGGAGACACCGCTATAAGCTGCAGGGCGTACGCGAAAGCTTTGTATTATAAGGTAATAAATATCCATTAATATATTTGGCTCTCTTATTTATTTGACTTCAATTAAATACGCGTATATTTCAGGAAGAAGAGTACCGCAGAAATCCGACGACCCAAGTAGTGGAGGCGTTAATACATATAAATAATAAGTTGCAACAGAAAGAGGCAGCAAATGGGTTGCTCGAGAAGGTGATAACACAGAAGAAGAACGGAGATTGTTCATTGAACGTTCATGTTCGTTGGTACGAAAAACTGCATAATTGGGAGCAGGCACTGGATCTGTATGATAAGAAGTTGGAAACTGAACCGCAGGACTCTGAGTCCAGGTTGGGTATGATGAGATGCTTAGAAGCAATGGGAGAGTGGAGAAAGCTTTATAATATAACTGGCGACCAGTGGGATAGCATGAGCGAGGATATCAAGAGGAAATCTGCTAAGATAGCTGCAGCTGCATCGTGGGGCTTGCAGGAATGGGATTCAATGAAGAAGTATGTCGAATTTATCCCAGAAGACACGCAAGACGGAGCATTCTACAGGGCCATTTTAGCTATTCATGAAAGTCAATGGCCTGAGTCCAGACATTATATAGACGCGGCTAGAAGCTTGCTTGATGGGGAACTTACTTCAGTATTGGGAGAGAGCTATCAAAGGTCATACGGTGCCCTTGTTAACGCGCAACTCTTGACTGAATTGGAGGAAGTAGTAATATACAAGCTCGTGGAGGAGAGAAGAAGTATAATACACAGAACCTGGTGGACAAGACTACAGGGCGGCCAACGTTTAGTCGAGGATTGGCGAAAGATGCTACAAATAAGGAGTCTCGTCATGACCCCACGGGAAGACTTCCAGACTTGGCTCAAGTTCGCGTCGCTCTGTCGGAAATCCGGCTCGATACCGCAGGCGCACAAAATTGTTCTATCCATTCTGGGCTGTGATCCTATGAACAATCCCGACGTCCTTCTGCGGATGCAGGACCCAAGGATCGTTTTGGCCTACAGCAAAAACTTGTGGGAGGCCGGCAACAAGCGGTACGCTTACGACGTACTGCAGCGTTTCGTCGATAATTCTGAGCCGGATAGCGAAGAGCATTACAGGCTACTGGCGCGGTGCCACCTGAAACTGGGCTCCTGGTGTGAATCCCTGCAAGAGATCAACGAGCTCTCCATCCCGGACATCCTAAGGAATTACGCGGCGGCGACCATACTCGCCCCTGAGTGGTACAAAGCGTGCCACGCGTGGGCTTGCATGAACTTCGAGACGGTGCTGTTTTATAAGCAGCAGGACAGCAGCACCGAGAGCAGTCTCGCTGGCGGCTCTGGCGAGAAGAAAGTCTCCAGACCAGAGTTCATCAACACGCATACGATACCGGCTATCGAGGGGTTCTTTAAGTCCATTAGCTTGTCCAACGGCAACTCCCTTCAAGACACCTTGAGGCTCCTCACTCTGTGGTTCGACCACGGACACCACCCGGCCATATACGACGCCCTTTTCGAAGGGATACGACAAATTGACATCAAGATTTGGCTTCAAGTGATACCTCAGCTTATAGCCAGAATCGATTCGCCTAGAAGCCTAGTCGCAAAGCTGGTCCACATACTGCTGATAGACATAAGCAAGTCCCATCCGCAAGCGCTCGTCTACCCCTTGACCGTGGCAACGAAATCTTCCTTTGTGACGAGGAAAACTGCCGCGAACTATATATTGAAAACGATGTGCGTACACTCGCACAATCTAGTCAGCGAGGCCGCTATAATATCTGAGGAATTGATTAAAGTGGCCATTCTGTGGCACGACCAGGTCTTCATAGCGCTGGATGAAGCTTCCAGGTAAAACATAAACTGTGTGTATGTAGTGTCATTGGTAGTGCCACTCAGCAGCTAGTTCTGTTGTATGAATGGCCAGGCTCATCAGGAGAAGTACTACAGCCTCGAAGAAGATACTGCTTCACGCCGTGGGAAAGTGGTGGTTCATGTTTTTATCGTGTTTCACCTGGGTATTGAGGTAACCGGGGCCCACTCCTTTAAAGGTTGGCCACGAATCTACAACGTTGAATCAGTTGTTGTAAATCTTCTTTGATGTAAAATTTGACGATTCATAAGAGCGCGCAAGCGTCTATTTGAATAAATATATTGTTATGAACACACAAAGGAACTAACGCCATCTAGCGTCAACAGTAAAACCACTAAAGAACAAAGACGACATAAAACCCCCTATTCAACACTAGATGGCGTTAGAGGAACTGCTGTGGAACTATAGTCTCGAAAACCGGGTACATTCGCGAACTTTCCGGAATCACGAACATGTTCGTGCGTGTCGGGTACGTTCCAGGAATGATCCTTCTGGATTAGTCCGGAACCGGTCTCGGCCCATATAAAAAGCCGCAGGGAGGCGAGCGATCTCAGTTCAGTTTGAGCTACATTCGAGGCGACTTCGGAACGAAAACAAGTGATCAAGAGCGATACCAGTGAAACCTACGACTTGGCTACAAAATAGGACAACGTTAGTGCTTAGTGTTTGGACCTAGTGCTTTGTGTTGGACCTAGTGCTATTGAATAAAGTCTTCAAAAGAGTCAGCAGCTCTTTCTCTCCAAATCCTTCGAACCCCTAACACGTAACAATATTTTTGATTTTGATTTTGATTTTGGCGGGGATAATCACTTAACATCAGGTGACCCACCCGGTCGCTTGCCAACTTTTCAGATAATAAAGTGATCCTTCACTGTATATCTATCGATCTTTGTGAATGTTCAGTTTGGAATTTTAAAATTATTGTAATCATATAAATTACTCGTCATATATTATTTTTCATCATCATCATGATACATATTTTTTTTGCAGATTGTATTTCAGCGAGAAAGACTACAGAGGTATGTTTAGGACATTGGATAAAATGCACACGATGCTAGATCGTCCGCCGGAGGCATTGAAAGAAGTGTCGTTCTTGCAAATGTACGGGAGGGATTTACAAGAGGCCCAAAGATGGTGCGAATTGTACAAGGTATGTAAACCACACGTTTTAGTTGTGTTTTAATTTTTAACCTCAGAGATATAAGGTGTTTGACTTCACGATCATTCAGCCAATGTAAACCGGCAGCTTTTAATTCAATAAAGCTTCGATATAGTATAGCTTCGATATGTATAGAAAAACTACTAAACAGAGGAAAGTGGAAATCGTTGGAGGAGGCAGGAGGTTCATGCACGCAATAGAACTTAACTTTTTGATGTAAAACCTCCTTACAATACAGGGTAATGTTAATGTTTTCGATGAGAAGATAGATAGACAGTTAATCTTCTAGGTCGCAGTGGTCGTTGGGATTTAACCCCTTATTCCAACACAACCCCAAAATAACAATAATGATAATGTTTATTTTCTTATAGTTCTTAAATTTTTAGACTTAATGCTCATACATAGTAATGATAAAAATTACTACCATAGAAGGAATAAAAATACAATACAAGAGTTTAGTTTAGGGGGAAGCGTATGTCCAGCAGTGGACTCGAACAGGCTGAAATGACCATAAAAATCATGCAAGCTTATTTTGCCGCTCGCGCCAGAAGTTTAACTGATCACAAAAATGATGCAAGCTTCATTTACCGCTCGCGCCAGAACTCTAGCTGATCACAAAGATGATGTAAGCTTCATTTACCGTTCGCGCCAGAAGACTAGCTGATCATAAAGATGATGCAAGCTTCATTTACCGCTCGCGCCAGAACTCTAGCTGATCACAAAGATGATGCAAGCTTCATTTACCGCACGCGCCAGAAGTCTAGCTGATCATAAAGATGATGCAAGCTTCTTTTTCCGCTCGCGCCAGGAGTCGAGCGAGGAGCGCTACCTGAACGAGGCGTGGGACCTCTACTACAACGTGTTCCGGCGTCTCTCGGCGCAGTTCCGCTCGCTCACCTCGCTCGAGCTGCAGTACGTGAGCGAGCGGCTGCACGCGTGCAGGGACTTCGAGCTCGCCGTGCCCGGCTCCTACGTGCCGGACGGGCCCCTCATCAGGATATCACACATTAAAAGTCAACTCCAGGTATATTCGCAAGCGAGAGTGATTCGTACATCACCCCTTGATTCAATCCGAGGCCTCCCCGACCACCAGGTCGCGGAGAAGCAGCAGTGTGTGTGTTTGCGTGCGGGCGTGCGTGCGTGCGTGCGTGCGTGCGTGTGTGTGTTTATGTACGTACGTAAGAAGTCACACTACCTTAGTGTTAGAAAAGAAAAATAACTAACATTAATAAATATAATAATAATATATAAATTTGATCCATTGTGCCAGTAGTACTATTTGTTTGTGAAAAAAAAAGACATTAGATGCAATTGATAACGGTTTCATTAAACAACTTGGAATTATGCGTAAATTTCGCTATCAGGTGTCGCGCGTAATAAAAATTCACTCTCATAATTTTTTCCAAATGAGCTATAAAAGATATTATATCTATGTAATTTTAGCGTGCGCCCATTGATCATTCAGCGAATGTAAACCGGCAGCTGTAACAAAAATATCATGTCTACAATACATCGCAACATGCAGGTGATAAAGTCGAAGCAGCGGCCGCGCCGCCTCACCGTGCAGGGCTCGGACGGCAAGCAGTACATGTTCCTGCTGAAGGGCCACGAGGATTTGAGGCAGGACGAACGGGTGATGCAGCTCTTCGGGCTGGTGAACACCCTGCTCCAATCCGACCCGAGCACGTACCGCCACGACCTGGCCATCCAGCGCTACGCGGTCGTGCCCCTCTCCCCCAACTCGGGGCTGATCGGCTGGGTGCCCCAGTGCGACACGCTCTACAATCTGATAAGCGACTACCGCGACAAGAAGTCCAACAAGCTCGCGCTGAACACTGAACAGCAGATCATGCAGCGCATGGCCTCCGACTACCTCAAGCTGATGCTGAAGCATAAGGTACGAGGTTCTTGTTACCTTTAGTCCACCGGTGATAGGTTGCCGAATCGCGTAACAATAAGTTGGCATCCTCCAACTGCTATTGGGGATTATATGATAGTGTTAGAAATAAATCGAAATATCGAATGGAAACACTGCAACGGGCTATAAAAGGAGCAGCGCTCACCGTGTGTTCGTCAACCGTTGCAACGTGCTGAAGCCCTGTCCGAATTACGATTGTTTCGGTCATTAGAACTGTAATTAAACTCTGCGTAGTTTAGCCTACTGGGCAATAAGTCCTTTTAAAAATCACTTATTGTTCCTATTTCTAACAATAGATATATATTTTTTATGCGAGATAGTGGTAAGCGAGCTGCCGATTCACCTGAAGGTAAGTGAAAACCGCCGCCCGCAATACCCGTTGTGCAACCCTATGCCACCAATGCGTTACTAGCTTTTAATAAAGTGTGCCCCGGTTACTTCACTTACAAGACGAAACACAGAATCAATATAATCTAAATAAGCCATATTTTTATACAATATTAGTTATATGTAATAAATAGCAACCAAAATTAAAGGCTATATGGGTAGATGAAATGGCGATGGATGTGCAAGGGTCTTGAAAAGTGAAAATCCGTCATCACCCTTTAGGTTGACAGGTCTCTCAAGTTTATACAGGCGATTGCGAAGTAAGCGATTTTAAGGTATCGGACCGACTAAATGCATTGTTGATCATCGCATGAGTTTTTAGGGTTCCGTATCCAAAGGGTAAAACGGGTCTCTATTTTAAGACTCTGCTGTCTGTCTGCCTGTCCGTCCGTCAACAGGCTGCATCTCATGATACGTGATAGTTAGTTGAAATTTTCACGGATGATGTATTTCTGTTGCCGCTATCACAACAAATACTAACTTTACTAATACACAAATAAAAATACTAATACACTTTTGCGATACTTCTCATTTTGGGCGGTAACACGGGGCAGTAACACAGCCTCACCGAAAACCGGCGTGGAGAGAAACTGTTATACTTCCACTACCAAAATCAAAAATCAAAAATATATTTATTCAAATAGACGCTTGCGCGCTCTTATGAATCGTCAAATTTTACATCAAAGTTATGTATATAGGTTCGTAAGGTACCACCTCTGATGAGTGAGATCACCGTGTTTCACTCTTTAAAAGTTTGACAACGCATTTGCTATCCTACAGGTTGTGTAGATGTTCATGGGTGGGGGCAATATCTTATCTTCAGCATGGAAACGCATGTAACCCCCGAGTTGTTTTGAAGTTCCTGAACGTCTGTAATATTTTATTATCTAGCTATGATTTATTGATTTGTTATCTTAGCAAGCGATCGGGAGGTTCACCCGATAATAATTACCTTCTCATATAAAGAAAAAGCTGAGATAGGATATGCATTATCATGTCTTTGATTGTTTCTAATCGCATGTTATCCAGCATTATGCCAGTATTGTTATCAAATTTATCGATTAATATTTATCGATATTATTTATCGTAACTGTTTTGCGCTGGAATAATTTAATCGTGAGTTAATTAGCAATATCTGATTTCCTTTGACAAAACATATAAGATCATTCTATGGCAATTAGTGTATTTGTTTTCTTTAAGATATGAATTCATACTATTATTTCATTTGATGACTTAGTCGGCACAGTTGTAAAGGTATTGGCTTTTGCCCCGGGGGTTGTGGGTTTGATTTCCACACGGGACAACTTTTTGTGCGAAAAACAGATAATTGTTTCGGGTCTGAATGTTTATCCACGTGAAGTTCATGTTTGTTAAACGTCCTTTCAACACAGGATAATGTTATGCTACAATAAGGGCAATGTTAAAAAATATTGGGTGTTAATTTTAGTCTTCAACATATTTCACTCGATGTTTGCACACTGCTCCAAAATCTCCCTGTTTTGTACAATATAAGCCATCTTCAAATTAACACACTACTAATGAAAACGACGTATACGAATAATATTTGACAACCTAACATAAAAGTTTTTGTTGAAACTAAATAAATATTCATTCGTTCATGCCATCAAATATATTCGCAGGTCGAAATATTCGAGTATACGCTATCGCAGACGCCTGGCAACGATTTGGCGAGGCTGCTTTGGCTGAAGAGCCTGTCGGCCGAAGCGTGGTTCGAGCGGCGCACTAACTACACCCGCTCGCTGGCCGTCATGAGCATGGTGGGCTACATCCTGGGCCTGGGCGACCGCCACCCGTCCAACATAATGCTGCACCGGATCTCCGGGAAGGTGCTGCACATCGACTTCGGCGACTGCTTCGAGGTCACGCAGACCAGGGAGAAGTACCCGGAGAAGATTCCGTTCAGGCTCACCAGGATGCTGATAAACGCCATGGAGGTGACGTGTTCACAGTAATGTTAATATAAATGTATCATTCCTGGGCTGAGGCCTGATCTGTTTAGAGGGTTCAATAGCTCAGTCCGCCACACGACCCCGCTGCGGATAGGAAACTTCAAACATCTTCGTAAATTTCTTGCTATGATTTCGAAAATATGCATGTTCCATCACGTGATAATTCAGCACTTAAAATTGACAACTCCATCGGTGCCCGCGCCGGGATTCGAACTCGGCTCGCTCGTAAATTGACCTATTAGGGCTATCTATCTCTAGTATAAATTAAAAGCGAGCGCCCGCGAGCGAACTTGAGCTATCAGGGCTGTCTACCAGGATTGACCATTCAGGGATGTCTACCTCGAGCATAAATTAATAGCGAGCGCACGGAACTTGCGGTATCAGGGCTGCCTACCAGGACCGTTGCCAGCTGACGTGCTCGTCCGTCCCGCAGGTGACGGGCATCGAGGGCACGTACCGCAGCACGTGCGAGTCGGTGATGCAGGTGCTGCACCGGCACAGGGACAGCGTGATGGCGGTGCTCGAGGCGTTCGTGCACGACCCGCTGCTCAACTGGCGGCTGGTGGACGACGGGCGGCGCTCGGTGGCCGGCTCCACCTTCTCCTCAGACATCGGCTCGTACTCGCTGCCGAGTCGGAGCCGCGCGCGACTGCACTGCGAGCCGCTCGAGATGCCGCCCGACGCGAATCTGAACAAGCGCGCGCTGGCGATACTGAGCCGCGTGCGCGACAAGCTCACCGGACGCGACTGCCCGCGCTCCGGGCCGCTGGAGGTGCCCCAGCAGGTGGACATGCTGATCAAGCTCGCGACGGACAACGAGAACCTGTGCCAGTGCTACATCGGCTGGTGCCCCTTCTGGTGATCGGACTGCGGACCGTACAGCGGAGGATGCATGTGCACGCAGATCTAGTGATTAAATGTATGTGCAGAACGAAGGGATCCCGATATTCGTCTAACTCAATGCAGAACGACTTAAAGACTGAGATTCGTGCAGTTGAACAAGAGCGCACCAAAGTTCTCCGAAGGTTCGTGTAATGAATCTGTTTGGCTCCGACCTCACGTTTATGTACCGTCGCGAACAACGTGACGGTACATAAATTCGATAATATTACGTGATCGAAGCGACGGTAAGGAATGTATACGTAGAACGAAAATTCTGATGTTGGTGAGGTAATGTAACTGTTGGATAAAAACAAAAATGCTATACGGGAGCGATTAATATGTTAGATTAAACGTTTTCAGACACTATAACAATTCCTATAGTCATGAGTAAATAGTGTATTATGTAATTCTTATAGTCATCAATAAGTGACCAGTGGCGAAAAATATGTGAAACGTTCAAAAGCTATAATATGTTCAATAAGTACAACAGGGTGTTTTGTTCGTCTGAATTGTGGCCATCCATTGTCGTCGATCTCGAAGGTTCTGCATTTTCGGAGCGAGTTTTTTAAATGTCAACAGGCTTAGCGTCTGTAAAATTACACATTAATGCGTGCCTTAACGAATAAACATATATTCCATTTAATTTACAGAACTCAAGAACTGACATTCTCGTGTAAAACATATATGAAAAAATAACAAATCATTCAACGCTGTTGTATCAGCATTTCTACTTTTATTTCTAATCTAACGTTTTTTTTTATGTTAGAATGTGGAAAGCGAGCTGGCGGTTCACCTGATGTTAAGTGATAACCGCCGCCCTAGGACACTTGCAACACCTGTAGGGTTGCAAAGCACTGCCACATTTTGATAAAATGGGCCCCAGCTTACTCGCGTAACATCACCAGGGGAAAAGCAGAAGTATAACTCTTCCACTTTACGCCGGTCTTCTGTGAGGTCGTGGTTCTTCCCCGCAGGCGCACCTGTCCATTCGTGGAACATTCACTGTAGCATGTTGTTTTGCTTCAGTATTTGTTCACTGCAAAGCTCCACTATTGGCTATACATGTAAATCTGTATTTATTTACCAATAAGAATAACAAAGTACATCGTTGGATACCAAGTAAATGAACATAAAACATTGCTTCTTTTATTGTCACGACTAACTTAATGTAATACTTAGTTGTTTTGTTAAAAAGGCGTTTATTTTCCATCTGATGTTGTCATACCCTGTACTATATTTTAAATACGGACAAGCTCAAGTGCGTTCTATATAAATAAGGTTTCATGAAATTATTATTGCGTAACAACAAAAATGTAATTGTCATGTCCACGTTTTAAGAACGACTTCGAGGCTGAGAGAAAAATAAACAAATATTTAAGAATTAAGCTGAGCTAAGCCTGGCTTGGCTGCTTTTATATTTAACAACTGCTGATGTAATTTAATAAGGTATACTATTTTATTCGCCCACCTTTCTTATTTACCACGTTTTAGTAGAATGCTATTGGATTCCTCGTGTTTCGTATTTCTAGTTCTCTACATTAGTTTTTTTTTAATACAACGAATAAAGTTTTAGTTCGAAACTAAATATAAAGCTTATAGATTTTTTTTAATTCTCGCTTTTGAACAGGAACATTCTAATGTTCACTTAAGGAATTGTGTAAACTAGTCACATAAATAAAAATCGATAAAAAAATTAATTAAATACCCCTCTATAAAGACAGGTTCACAGCCGTAGTTTTATAGTTGCCTTTTTTGTAATTTACAACAATATGAGCGACAAGAGCTTTACTTGAATCAAATCCTGTACTTCTTTTTCTCTTGTCTATTTGCTACGCACACAAGAAAAAAAATACGCCATGAATATACCAAATTAATTCAGATTTTATTGTCGCATCTCAACTTAGTTTTATGTTGAATTTTCTTTTGCATTTGTTGATTTAAGTAAAAATGTATTAATAAATGTAGATAATGGAAAAGAGACGCCGAGAAACTGAGAAATTAATTTCAGATCGACGTGATTGTTTATAAAATAAAATAAACATATTATCGTATCATTTGTTTCAATATGTTATTACCTGCCATTATAGTTCTTGAGATGAATTCATGTCTTAATATGTCTAATACAACAGTATATCAATTCATATTTCCAATACCACAAACAATTTGAAAGCGGCTACCCGCTTTTAAATTGTTTGTGTATTAGCGTAACACGCTGTGGATCTGGTCATATGTAGTATTAGTGCCACTTAAAATTTCTTTAAACAACTTTTTAAATTGTATAATCAGTTCTTCGACACTCCGAGGATTTGACCCTGCGTCCTCCGACATAATTGCACTTATATGTGCAGATAATAGAACTATAAAATAAATATGCTTTAAAAAACTTCACAGCAAAGATGTCATCTCTAGTCTTTAAATATTTCATTGTAAAGTTTTAGATAAAAAAGTGGTATTTTGCGGAAAAACTGGATGACGCCAAACATTGCTTGAAAATATAATAAAAAAAAGTAGCTAAAGTACGTTGAGATTTTCGTCCGTGTAACGATAAGCTGTTTAGCTTGTATCTTGTTTTAACTGATGTTTTTGCTTTCAGTTCCGAGACTATTAAAGCTATCTGACGCAGAATCGGTGGGCTAGCCAGAACCCACGGGTTTGGGCCCTCCGCTATGGGTAGGGCCGCGCATGTGCTCATGCGTGCGTTTAACTATGGTGTGTCATCTAAGGGCCATCGAGGTCGCGGTTCCGAACGAAACCCCGCAACCGAAAAAAATCAGTTCTAAAATTTGTGTGATCAAAGTATTAATAAGACAATACACAACAAAATATCGCGAAATATCAATATCTATTTAACAATAGTAGTTTTCTTCTTCCTTCCCTGATCCCGTTATTTGGGGTCGCGTCTCCTCACTTTCCTGCGTCAAGACAAACGCTCTTGGGTTGTCGCTTCAGGCAATTGGGCTTTCTTAAGGTCTCTTGCAATACTGGACCACCAGGTCATTGTCGGGACGCCTCTGCCTCTCTTTGATTCTGGCAGATTTAGGGCTATTCGTACAACGTGATTTACGCTGCGTCTTTTAATTTAACAATAGTAGTAGTCACTTATTAAAAAAAAAAAAAAAAAATTAAACGTGTGGATATTCCATTGATTCCTATTTGAGATCTATCCTGACCATGCATGCTTACCAGTAAAAATAGTCGCATTCAGCGTTCATTCTTGTACGATAACGGGACTTCACGCTCAAACAATAGTTATTGTAAATAAAGACCAAAGAGATTAATATAACTATTTATTTATAAGTATTAAATGTTGAAAATATTCATGTGCCTTACATACATTCTCTTTTAGATTTAAAAGTACATATCTGCTTATTACACATAAAATTCTTATCGGCCTTCATTTTATCGTGTTTTTAAAGAAGATTTTATGTTGCATTTATACATGTTGTGTGTAATAAACTGACATTAAATGCTTAAACAACTAAAGTAACATAATTGTAAATTTCCAATTAATTAAATAAAAATACAATTTAACTACAACGTTCATTATATTATTCGACAACATTATCTTCCTTGTAGCTGACGAATGACAGAGGTAACAATTTTGACAATTTGGTACATAAAACTTTATCCATTGTGGGTTTGCTTAAATATATCTCTATATCACCATCGCTGCTGCAAAATTCACTCAACGTCTGTCTGCATACCCCGCAAGGTGCAGTAAAGCTGCTTTCCTGGTGGGCAGTTATTGCCACCATTTTGAACTTAAGATGTCCATCACTAACAGCCTTAGGCACGGCCGCCCGCTCTGCGCATATACTAGGTGTTAATGTTGCATTCTCTATATTGCAACCTGTGTATACCTTCGACTCGCTTTCTGTCAATATGGCAGCGCCAACAGCAAAGTTTGAGTATGGACAGTACGCATTTTTCCTTGCTCTAACTGCTTCCTTTATCAAGTTTTGTGCAGTCTCATCTGAAAACGGTAGAAAATACCTAATCAATAACTACTAATACGTGTTAACTAATAACACGTTAACTTGAAAAATTGGGATATGAAATAATTATTTAATGTTATCTTGTTATATGTTACTCAAGGCAAAAGCGAATCTGAAATAATAAGTGTCTTCTCAAACTCGTATTCTAATACTTACATACGTAATGCCATATTATATTTAGGGAAAATAATTACTTCTTTAATTTTTCCTTTAGTTAGTTAAAAAATTACTTTTTAAAATTCATACGGAACTCTTCTTTTGCTCGACAAAATAAGATGATAATGATGTATTTATATTAACCACAGTGTACAAATTTAGGTCATTACGTATCAGTACGTGCGAAAATAGATTTACACAACATCATGCATTTCGTGAGATCTTAATGATATTAGAAAGGAGTTAGGATGAAAATTAAAAGATAAATCAACACACTTTTATTTTTATTTCAAGCAGATATTCATAATAGTTAAAGTAGATAGAATAGTACTCACTTAAAGAACTGAAGTCAACAATTTCATAGTTATCCATAGGATCGTAAATGTTTCGTAAAACTACGTATGTGGAAAGAACAGGGCCGTGCGATATTTCGAGCGGTCAGCGGCCAACTGATTAAGCCAAACGATCGTTGATTAGATATTGTGCTTTATGATTGAACGTCCCTTGTGACTGCTGTTTGAAAGTGCCGATCGTACAATTGTGTTTTTTTTTGTTTAGCTCCTCGGATATAGTGAAGGCCAACAAAGTATAAAAATCTGTTTTGGTAAACAATACTATTGGTAAAGAATGCAAAACATTGCGAATATGCTTATTAAAATATTCTATTATTTTAAAGTCAGTGGCTCTAAGAGTTGAGATAATAGTACAGTTTTCTACGGCTACGTTAACAATAGTCGGCGCATTTAATTTAGTAAAGTTTGTATTTGTGAAAATTAATAATCACTTAACAAAACAGGGTGATCAGATTTCACCAACATTGGCTACCGACGTTTATCTCTTCGCTTGATATACCTACTCTTTTAATTTCTATAAAACGCACAAGCGATAATGGTTTATCCTCATTTAATGTAGGCAAAAAATAAACCTAGGCGGCACTCCAATATGGAAACACACATAAACGTAATTAAGTGAAAGTCAAGGTAATCACCAAGAATGTACATAACGATGGTTTATAACGTCTCAACTTGGCCTTCTCGCAATTAATTAATGTTCAAGTTTTTACTCAACATTTCATTCTTAAAGCACTGGCCAGTTTTTATGATATAAGATATTTATGTATATATAAGATATTTTTATGATATAAGATATTAATATGTAAGAGATATTTATATTGACGCTTTAGGTGATAACATTTACTTACAAGTTTTTTCTGCTTCGAATTTTCATACGAAACCAACATGTTCAGAGATCATTATACAGCGTGTCGTTACCATCGCGACAATAAATGAACACACATATAGGGGATAACTTTTTAAAGTTTTATTAAACATTTAAATTCTTTAAACATCAATATTTACAGAGTTATTAAATTTTCCAAAACAAAGAATTTTAGAACACCTTACCTATAAAAGTGTAACGTAAAGTTCATTTGTAAAGGTCACGAAGCATATGAATGGGTTGAATGAATTTAAAAGAGACAAAACATACTGTTAGAAGGAGAGGCTTGTAATAAGACGCTGTGGCGCTAGTTGTATAGGTGTTACAAATTTTGTTTCTTTTTTACTTAATTAGTTTGTTTGAAAAATATTTTTTTTAATAATGGATTTTGATTAACGTTAATATTTTTTTATAATTATTGGCAAGTAGCGTTAGACGTGTGTTCATTTATTGTCGCGATGGTAACAACACGCTGTATAAGTTAAAGATTTTCGAATATGGCCAGCCAAACGAATAAGGCCAAGCATAAAATCCTGCAACCAGGCTTAACATAAAAAAGGGTGTGAATAAAAAACTTTTTCAATTATAATTTTTACCACTTAAAGAAGCACTAGTGTTTTCAATTGGATAGGTTTACAAAATTTTACAGCAATCATCATCATCATCATTTCAGCCTGTAAGCGTCCACTGCTGAACATAGGCCTCCTCTAGAGATTTCCACTTCAATTGGTTAGAAGCGGCCTGCATCCAGCGAAGTCCCAGGACTTTGGGCAGGTCGTCAGTCCATCTCGCAATAATTTGTCTTAATTCCATTGTTTTTTTTGTTGTTTGTGAGAAGGTATCAAGAGAGTTGGCGGTTTACCTGATGTTAAGTGATAACCGCGTATTAGTTAACAGACACTTTAAACGTATCAAAAAATTAAGATAATTTTTAAAAGCAATGGCGACACTAGATCACGCCAAAGCAATGCTAAGAATGCAATAGAATGAACGTAGATAATGTCAAGATTTTCACTCACGCGCCGTGAGGTCATCGACGGTTTAGCTGTAATTAGTTGGTAAATCGTCTAGACGCGAAACCAGAAGACGCAGGTTTGAATCCCGCATCGCTGAGTTTTTTTTAATGTCGTTACGGATAAAAATTCACAATTTTATAATTATTTATTGGTAAGGAAAACTAAGAAAAGTAAAGGTACAGCTTTGTACGTCCTCTCACTAAAAGTGTGTCCAACTTTTTCTGACATACCTAGGCTATCCCGGATAGCCTATCCGGGTTACATATAGGGGCACAACTTGTACCGGCATGCTGGCGTCTTTGTGTGTTTGTAGTGACGTCATCGTCTCATTGAAGACCCTACCTTTTCCATAATTGTTATGGATGCTGGTTGATACGGGACGGAACAAGATTATTAATTCCTGTCTACCGATCACACAGCGGTGACCAGACAACTCCTTTATTTGGATGTCTCACTGAGACCATTGATGTGGCTTTGCATCGGTACCCGGCTTTACGACTAGTCTTTCTGGGAATTTCAATGCCTGTCTCCAGGACTGGCTATTCTCATACCAGAGAACTGATCATGCTGGGAAAGAAGCGTGGCACTTTGCTACATCCCTAGGCCTCTCCAGCGGGTAAAGCAAGCGACGAGGGTGCCTGATGAGAACGGTCACACAGCTAATTCTTTGGACCTTGACGAGGAAGGTCCAGGCCACACAGGTATAGTGTACAGGTTCCCTCCCCTTTAGGAACTTTTGGCCAGTCTATTAAAATCTGTGACGATATTCGTTAATTATGCGTACAAAATGAATTAAATAATTTGCCGGCGTCTGTCTGTCTGTCCGAATATAACGTGGGCGTCTTCAAAGCAAGAATGAAAAGGCTTTTCTAAGCTATTACGTTTACCATGTACAGCTACATCATTAGTTTTTTATTGCCAATATAAAATTAAGCTGATCGGAAATAAAATACCTTTTAAAAAAGCTTTTGGTGGACTCATCAACAACATTCCCTTTACCCAACAGTTTATGGTAGATATTTAAGTATGTAAATAAACATAGAAACAAATCAATGTTTTTATTAAAAAGAATAACATGGCAATACACATTAGGTACACATTACCTACAAAAAACTATAATAGTAACTTAATGTTATTTAATGCAAACACAGAATAATAAAATGTGACAGGTTCATAACTTAGCGGTCACAATGCAATTTTAAGCAGTACATAATATCAGTTATTATTTATATATCTTAAAAATAAAACTGTCATCTGAAAGTTTAAACTGTGAGGTCAGATCATTGAATGATGTTTTATTGTTACAAGCAACTCTGTGTTAGTACTATGTACGGGCTATTAAAAAAAGATGTAAATATTTTATACTATTAGCATTTTTACGTCCACCATGAGGATAAATAAGCAATCATGTTGGTTTAACAATATTTGTGGTTATTGCACTGTTCCCTATAAGTAGATCAAGTCAAGTAAATGCCGTAGTGAACAACTGGACAAAAGCATCGATAATTATTTATGACCTCAATTCTGTTAATTTAATTTCGGTCCAGTAAATTTAAATTTTCGTCTCGTTAAAATTGTTAGTTCGTAGAATAATATCAGATGAATCCAGCTGACTACTGACTTGGTGATTGCATTTTATATGTTACAAATTATTTTTAATTGCAGCATACAAATAACAACGCATCAGCTATTGTGTGTGGCAATTATATAATACATTCCTTAAATTAAAATTACTCATACATAAGATTACAGCCATTGAATTATATTACAACCTTTTACTAAATGCTATTTATATATTGCTGTTAATGCATTACAACATATAGTAATATATTAATAACATAACAAATACACAGAGAGTTTATATTCATTATTCATTTAGAATAATTACACATTAAAATCAAACTTTCTTTGGCAGTGTGTAAATGCATTTACACTTTACTTGATAATAAATGCAGTAAATTTTCTGCTGCCTATTTAAGCCAAAACAATATAATATGGTAGCTGTTGTTATTGTCATTCTTAATATAAATAAATGTTTCATATATAATGCATACTTTTAAGATATTTACCAATAGTGTAAAAATCACGAATCACATGAAAAACAAGCATGATAGTGACTACAACTCAACATTTTTAAATCCCTATTACTATTTGAGTTATTTATTTCAAATTGAAAATGTTATGGTGTCCAACTGCAACAAACTCGGCTGTTTGAAGGTTTTTCCAATTTTTATTTTTTGTGCGCTACTTGTGCCGTGAAAAGTGATCATAAGGGGATTTTGGCCAGTGAGTGCAATTACGTTGTTTGTGATGCATCTTAAATGAATATTTTCATAAGACACATACCGATTACAACACATTTACATTTGATTCATTCAACCATTTGTCCTTAAATACCCTACAAGGAGACAGTTCCCCTTACATTATTCCTGTACCAATCTCTTACTGTATCTTTTCTTATTTAAACCATAAAAGGTAGTGTATCATAGCATATCATAAAACTCTCCACTATTAGATTACAGTAGAGCAGCGGTGGTGGATTTTAATAATGACCTCGATATATATTGTAAACACACCGCGCCGCGCCTACCAGAAGGGGCACCAGCCGACGTAGCACTGGCACAGGTTCTCGTTGCTGGTCGCCTGCTGGATGAGCAGCTCGACCTGCTTCTGCACGGTGACGCTGGACAGGTCGTCGAGGTGCGTGAAGTCGCGGCCGGTGAGCTTGTCGCGCACGCGGTTCACTATGACGAGGGCGCGCTTGTTGAGGTGCGTCTCCGCGGGCTGGTCGAGGCCGTCGCCGGCCGGCGGGCGCGGGCGGCTGGCGGGCGGCGAGCCCGGCGCGTCGGGCTCGCCGTCGCCGCGCGACCGCCGCGCCGCCTCCACCAGCCGCCAGTTGAGCAGCGGGTCGTACACGAACGCCTCGAGCACCGCCATCACGCTGTCCTTGTGCCGGTGCAGCACCTCCATCACGGACTCGCACGTGCGCCGGTACGTGCCCTCTATCCCCGTCACCTGCGGTGTGATAAATCCATGCTAATATTATAAATGCGAAAGTAGCTCCGTCTGTCTGTCTCGCTTACACGCCATAAATAATGAACCGATTTAAATGAAATTTGGTACACAGATAGTCTAGAGCCTGAGAAAGGACATAGGCTATTTTTTAATTGCAAAAGTGTTGTAAAGTTTTGAAAATATCTTTCTTTAAATATATATTTATATATATATATATATATATATATATATATATAGTTTATAAAGAAAGATATTTATTTTAGGACTTCAACGCGAGCGAAGCCGCGGGCGAAAAGCTAGTATACCATAAATGTCTGTCTTTATTTTCTAATATCACTACATAGTATATAACAAAGTCGTCCCGCTGTCTGCCCGTCCCTATGTATGCTTAGATCTTTAAAACTGCGCAACGGATCATGATGCGGTTTTTTTACTACATAGAGTGCTTCAAGAGGAAGTTTTATATGTGTAATAAATTGCCCCCGTGCGAAGTCGGGGCGGGTACCTAGTTTTTTATAAATCTATTAAAAACAGTTTGACAGATCTTATTTTTTGTAACCACAACTATGAATCTAATTTGAAGACATTCTGGTGTAGTGAAATCCAATATATAATATATATTAGCAAAGATCACCTTAATTTTTTTCATAAGTCAAAATTTCTTTTTTCTATTTTAAGCTGGCTGGTTAATAGAACAAAGATGGCTTACTTTAAGCTCTTATCGAAAGTCAAAAAACTATCACCGGTTCATTAAACTCTGCGGCTAGACAACTCATACGCATAAACATACTTTTGGAAATAAATACATATTATATGGATATGTAAACACCCAGACACTAGAAAAATACTATGTTCATCACACAATATTTCTCCAGTAGTGGGGATCGAACCCACACCCTCCGGCGCGAGTGGCAGGTCTCGGGCTCATAGAATAGGGCTAAGGTATCCCCTGCGTGTCGTAAAAAGCGACTAAAAGGGGACACGGATTGGCATCAGCTTGAAGTGGTCTCGATCTACTGCAAGATGGTGAGGGAATCGGGGAAGGTGTACCCTTCTCCGAGGCGTGCTCACGAGTAGTAGTGAGGGACACCGGTGTGTTTCGTGGGAGATCCCGGAGTCCCTCCAAACGTATAGTAGTTGGCCACCGAGGGGGTTTTAGTGGGTAAAAACTCCACATAACACATGTTATCTAAGGTGACAGGGTATCTTTTAAAGATTTCCCCCCATACCAAAAAAAAAAGGTTCACTACCCACTACGTCACAGGTCGTCAATAAATAAACATGACGAAGCCGCCCAACACACCTCCATCGCGTTGATGAGCATCCTCGTCAGTCGGAACGGTATCTTCTCCGGGAACTTGTCGCGCGTCACGGCCACCTCGAAGCAGTCGCCGAAGTCTATGTGGAGGAACTTGCCGGTGACCCTGTCCAGCATTATGTTGGACGGGTGCCGATCTCCCAGGCCCAGGATGTAGCCCACCATGCTCATGACGGCCAGCGAGCGGGTGTAGTTGGTGCGCCGCTCGAACCACACCTCGGAGGAGGGGCTCTTCAGCCAGAGCAGCTTCGCCAGGTCGTCGCCGGCGGTGTGCTCGAGTGCGTGCTCGAACACTTCCACCTGGTGAAAAACATACTGAGTGTGGTTAATGAGGCATTGGTATTTTAGGGTTCCGTACCTCAAAAGGTAAAAAAGAACTCTTATAAGATCGCTCTCTTGTCCGTCTGTCTGAACGGGTAGACCTGACGGCAAGTTGCAATTTATACCAGATAATGAGGTCAATAGTCCCTATTTATAGGTAGGTTGTATAAAAATCAGTCTTGAGTCAACACGATAAATATATGGGCAAATTTAGATTTTTGCGAAACCTTAAGTACCAAAATTTACCTTAATTTTCAACTTTTTTTTATTTGTCGGAATTTTCCCTTTACTTGTGCTGTAAGACCTTGCTTATAAACAAAATGTACAATTCTCGGTCAACCGGAAGTACCCTGTAGGTTTTAAATTATTTCGAAAGGATCCAATTCACCTTTTGCATGAGCATAAGCTTCTCCAAATCTGAAGCCATGCGCTGCATAATCCTGTGCTCGATGTTGAGTAAGCACTTTCGCTTCTCCCTGTAGTCCCTTATCAGGGAGTGCAGCGTGTCGCAGTGGGGCACCCAGCCTATCAGTCCCGAGTTGGTCGAGAGCGGTATGACGGCGTAGCGCTGTATCGCCAGGTCCCGTCTGAAGGTGTCCGGGTCTGCTTGGAGCAGGGTGTTCACCAGCCCGAAGAGCTGCATCACCCGTTCATCCTGCCTTAAATCCTCGTGCCCCTTCAGCAGGAACATGTAGTCCTTGCCGTTGGAGCCGCGTATGCAGAGGCGACGCGGCCTCTGCTTAGACGTTATCACCTGAAAGGGCGTGTTTGTATTTAATTACAGACGGCGACCCGATTGGCGTGATGGGTAGTGAACCTACCTTTTATGTCTACCCGTTGCTAAGAAAATCGGCGGTGACACAAGGACAGACAGATGGACAAGGGAGTGATCTAATAAGGGTTCCTTTAGGGTTGCCTTCCTCAAAAGTTAAAAGCCTTCTGAGGTAGGCAACCCTAACAATATCAATGCCTCATTTTTAAAACACTCAGTATGTTTTTTCACGATCTGATTGGAGTAGTAAGTAGTGATCGCGCCCGTGGGTGTTGGTTCGATCACCACTACTGGAAAAATATTGTGTGATGATAGTGTTTTTCCAGTTTCTGGGTGTTTATATATGTATTATATGTATTGACAAAAGAAAAATAGTGTTAGTAGTGTTTAAGTATGTTTATCAAGTAATCTAGTGCCCATTGTACAAGCTAGAGATAGCTAGGGAAGTAGAGAGCGTTGTGAAAAAAATGTTCTAAAATATTTATTTCATTGTATTTTGTGTTGAAGGAATTGGGTAGTAAGTCCCAACGACCACTGCGACCTACAAGATCTATTGTGGTCTCCCCTTCGAAAACATTGCCCCCTTACTGAGGATATTATCCTGTGTTGTAAGGACGTTTTACATACATAAATTTCATGTGGACAAACACCCAGATGGGAAACAATCATCTGAGAGTCACACAAATAGGTCACGTGTGGGAATCGAACCCACGAACCCCGGCGCCAATGCCGATTTGGCAAATGCGCCACGGGCCATCAAATATTTCGCCTTACCCTACATCAGGGACAATGAATTCCAATTTATATTAATACAACGTACTACTTCGAAGGGCGTGTTCAACGCCATCGTAAAACTACCCTCAGCTTGCCAGTGATCTGTTCAACGCGGTATTTATGTCCTGCTGGGCTGAGTTAGACGAGCAACTGTCACGTGGACAAATGATGCGAAACAATCGGTGCGGGTCACACAAATAATACGTGTGGGAATAGAACCCACGACCTCCGACCCCGGGGCAATGGTAAGGTATTGACCTTGATCGGTGAAGGTCACGCAAATAATTATCACGTGTGGGCATTGAACCCACGACGGCGCCGGGGCCACCTTGGTAACCGCGCCACAGGGACCCCCAAGTGCGTGTAACGCTTCTATATTTAACGAAGACTATGAACCGGACCGACCTGCAGGCTGCTCTGTATGTGCGCTATGCGGATGAGGTCCGAGTCCGGCACGTACGAGCCCGGCACCGCCAGCTCGAGCTCGCGGCACCCGAGCAGCCTGGGGCTCACGTACTGCAGCTCGAGCGAGGTGAGCTGCGGCAGCTGGCGGCTGATGCGCCGGAACACGTGGTAGTAGAGGTCCCACGCCTGATTCAGGTCGCGCACCTGCCCCGACTCCTATTGAAAACATCGGTTTATTTTTTTTTTTTTTTTTTTTTCAAAATTACACTTCTTTTTTGTAACGTGTAGTCACACCGGCGGCTTAGACACAGTTTTTGAGGTTGCACTTCTTTTGGCGTGTTCGGAAAAACGATAAGTATAGCCTTTGTTTTTCTTTTGATGTTTATGATTATTTTGGTGCGTTTGGGAAAAATTACGAATATTACGATGCGCTACACCTAAGTGACACCAACTTCATGTTGTTACCATGGCAACAGATAACATTTTGACATTCACATATAATTCCATTATTTTTCTTATGTAACGTTATTTTATCGATAAATGCGAGTGGCTCGGTGTCGTTCTTAGTTGCAGTCTGTGGCAGAGGCCTATGTTCAGCAGTGAATTCAGACAGGCTGAAATGATGATGATGACACTAAAGTGGTATAACATCTTACGTGCGTACATAATTACACGTCGACGCTTACTGACGCGTTGACAACCTTTAAAAAAATGGGCTCTGGATACCTCACTTACCAGTCGAAACTCGAAAGTATAATACTTCCAATTCACGCCGCTCTTTTAAGTCTGCCCATTTGTGCAACATCAAAAGCGTGTAAGTGGTGGGTTGTCCTCGCACTAGCGACAACCTCAAAAACATCACCAAATCGAATAATGAAGCAATAATAATTAATACTACACTAGATAAAAAACCGTGCACATTCAGAAAGCAGACGGAATAACGTACCTTATAACGATTGCACCACTCTTGGGCCTCATTGAGGTCCCTGCCGTAAGCTTGAGTGAAGGAAGCCTCTTTCGTAGTCTCAGGCCCCCTCTCGAGCATCGAATGCAAGGGCTCGAGGGTCTTAAACATGGCCTTAACGTCGTGTTCGCTGAAATATAGTCTTGAAGCTTCCTCAAGCGCCTCGTGCCACTGCTCGTGCCAGAGAATAGCGACTCTTATTAGCTCCTCAGAGATCATGGCAGCCTGGTTGACTAAGTTACTGGAATGAGTGCACATAGACTTCAGAATCTGGTTAGCGGCGTTCTTCCGTGCCACAAACGAGGACTTCGAAGCGACCGTCAGAGGATAGACGAGAGCTTGCGGGTGCGACTTTCCGATATCGATCAACAGAGAGTGTATCAGTTTCCCCACCAAAGCTCTAGGGGTGTCGATTCTGGCGATCAACTGTGGTATTACTTGGAGCCACACGTTGATTTCGATCGTTCTGATGCCCTCCACCAAGGCCTCGTGGACGGCCGGGTGCTGGCCGTAATCGAACCACAGGGTCAGCAGCCGCAGGGTGTCCTGCAACGAGCTGCCGTGCGAAAGGTTGATGGATTTGAAGAAGCCCTCCACCGCCGGCACCGTGTGCTGCTGGATGAACTCGGGCGGGGTCTTTTTCTCGCCGCTCGTCTCCTGGTGCTTGTAGAACAGCACCGTCTCGAAGTTCATGTAGGCCCACGCGTGCCACGCCTTGTACCAGTCGGAGCTGCGCTTCGTCGCGGCTGCGTAGTTGCGCAGGATCTCCGGTATGGAGAGCTCGTTGATGCCCAGCAGGGCCTCGCACCAGGAGCCCAGCTTGAGGTGGCAGCGGGCCAGGAGGCGGCAGTGTTCCGGGTCGCCGATTTCCACCGTGTCCACGTAGCGCTGCAGCTGGTCGTAGGCCAGCCTCTTGTCGTTGGCCACCCAAAGGTGCTTGGCGTAGGCGAGCGTGAGCCGCGGCTCGTGCGTCGGCAGCGGCAGCTCGCGGTTCTTGCTGGGGTCCGAGCCGAGCAGCATCACCAGCGTCCTGTGCGCCTGGCGGGGCGCGCCGCTCTTCCTGCACAGCGAGGCGAACTTCAGCCACGTGGCCATGTCCTCCTGCGGCGTCAGCACCAGGCTGCGCACCTGGAGTATCTTGCGCCAGTCCTCGACCAGCCTCTGGCCGCCTTGGAGCCGCGTCCACCACGCCTGCCGTATGGACTCCCTCCTCTCGGTCACCAGCTTGTACGTGATCACCTCCTCCAGTTCGGCGAGCAGCTGCGCGTTGACCAGCGCCCCGTAGGCCCGCTGGTAGCTCTCCCCGGCCACGGCCGTCAACTCGGAGTCGAGCAACGAGCGCGCCTGGTCGATGTACAACCTCGATAGAGTGTAATCGCCTTTATGGATGTTCAGGACCGCTCTGTAGAACGCGCCATCTTGGGTGTTCTCCGGCAGGAAGCTGACGTAGTTGGCCATCGAGTCCCATTCGTTCATGCCCCAAGCGGCGCCTGCGGCTAACCTCGCTGCCTTGAATTTCTCCTCGTCGCTCATATTCGGCCAGCGTCTCGACACTGTCTTGTACAGTTTCACCCATTCGCCGAGTGCTTCGAAGCATCTTAGCTCCCCCATGTATGCCTCCATATTGTCGGGGTCCACTGACAGTTTCTCGTCATACAAGTTTAACGCTTTCTCCCAATTGTGCAATTTCTCGTACCACCGTATCTGAACCTTCAAGTTGGCGTCGCCCGCCTCGCGTTGCGCCATCACCCGCTCCAGGAGCCCCTCCGCCGCTTCCTTCTGTTGCAACTTATTGTTTATGTGTATCAGAGCTTCTACTACTTGAGAGGTCGCGCCGTTCCGAAACTCCTCCTCCTGGTAAGCAATTCGAAAATTGGAACTTTAGTGACAAAGTGTAACTTAGTTACACGATTTAAGGACATGTCGCAATCACTACCGTGACGCTAAAATATCGTGTTAGAAAAATCTGGGAGTTATAACGGTAACAAGTCATTCTATATTAAAATTTGTAGAAAAAGTACGAAAAGATTTTCGCTGCTGTGGAAATCGGACCACAAAGCTAAACGGCTGATTGCCACACCGACGAAAATCTTAACGTCTTTTATCTACATTGTTTTTAGCATCTGAGGCAATGCTTGGCGCATCCATTGTTATATCCTTTCCAGCATACAAACAATTTCGAATATCGTTTAACAACGATAATTCGAACGAGAGATGTTGCCATTGCTTTTTAGAAATTTAAATTTTTTTTTAGTGCTAATCTCTACACTTAAGATTAAACATTAAAATTTGTAGAAAAAAGTACGAAAAGATTGTCGCCGCTGTGGGAATCGAACCCCGTCATCGGCGGAATGTAAACTTAAAGTAAAGTAACAGCCTATAATGTCCCACTGCTAGACAGAGGCCTCCTCTACGCAGGGCATGGTCCACCACGCTACCCCATTGCGAATAGCAGACTTCACATAATTATCTTCGAAATATTTTTTTTTGTTATTAGTTCTAAAAGAAGCGTGGCTATCCTCGCGATGTTTCTCCTACACCGCTGAGCACTTAAAATTGTCAATTCCAATGGTGCCGGCACCGGGATTCGAACTCGGGTTGCTCGAGTGCATTGGATTAAAAGAGGCGCCCGTATGCTGAGCCATCACGGCTGTACATACGCAATCAATACCTTGTAATGAAGAGCCTTGGCGTAGGCGCGGCAGTGCATCGCCCTCTCGCCGAGCAGGTTGGTGGGGATGGGTAGGGCTCCGCCCTCGCAGTGCTCCATGAACTCGGCCAGGTTGAGCACCGTGTGCGCCAACTCTGGGGCATCTGGAGCTGTCAGGGCCTGCTCCAATGCGCTCGAGAGGTCCGCACGCGAAGAGTTGTCCAGCTCGGTCCAACAGGACACGAAGGCGGCGTTGAACAGGTCGCGGAGCAGTTGCGAGTAATTATGCGCTAAGGCCAGACACGCCCTGGAATATTCAAATAGTGTTCAACAGGCTTTCCCTTTTCATATCGTATCAGCCAATGTAAAAACTGTAAAGCCATTGAAAAGCCAAAAACAATACAGCAGGTCATCTTAACAAGTCATAGTATATTCACCTCTGTGCTATATTACGTTATCTTGTGTATTGCGATAGTTTCGGAAAAACTTAAAAATAACTACAATTTCCTTTATACACAAAAAATATTGAAATATTTAGATATTTACTAACTTTTTTTATGTGAAAAGTTGTTAAGCAAACAGACGGTTCACCTGATTTTAAGAATTGGGCTCAGGCTAACAGACGAAACGCGAAAGGATTATACTTCCACTTTACGCCGGTCTTCTGTGAGGTCGTGGAACATAGCCGGACGAACCTGCCCATTGTGCAACAGCCGAAGCTGTTGCGTTGCCACAGTTAAAATTAAAGTCAAATAAGTAAAATAGAAAAACTTAACCGTACCTGAGAGCGGGGCTATGGGACTCTGTTAAGAGGCCTATGCTAAACCGGCGCAGCCATTCCAGCCAGTCGTCCTTCGATACACGGCTGCTAACTGTCCAAGCGACCTTCAGATTGTGGGCGTTCACGTACAACTTGCGTATGGATTGCGAAGTATCCGCAAATACGATACGAGCCTGTTCGGAGAGACAATTTCTTATGTTATGTTGAAGAAAAAAACAACCGCACCATTGAACATTTTACAAGTACTCGCTAATAACCAAAATAGTATGAAGACAAAATTTTATTACTTAGATTTGAAGGAAAATAAAAAAAAATGGAAAAACAATGTCTTTTAAAGTCAAGTTGTTTGTTTTTTGTAAACATTTGGAAATCCAATAAAAGTTCGGTTATAAAATAAATGTACTTCATACCTCTTGATTGTTATTGCGTGGTTTCCTTCGAGTGCTTTGCAAGCCGTCGTCGACGCCCAAGGTCGATGTGGACTGCAATTTTGACAACAGCAGCTCGTAGTTCTGATGCTGGATTCGGTGTTTTGTGACGACCTTTTGCACCAGCGGAATGAAGTCCATGTACTTGCGGCCGAGCTGTATGATCAAGGCGCACAGAGTGTCCATCGCGGTGGTGCGGAGCGCGTAACACGTGTCCAGGCTTCTGACTAGCGGATGGATGATTCTAGAAACCAGCTCGCTGTAGTTCAAGGAGTCCGAAAGGTAGTCGACAGTCTCCATGGCGACCTTCGCCACGGGAATCGGGCAGTCCGTCGCATCGAACAGCTTCACGATCGAAGGTACAATCAAATGCATGTAGTCGTCGAGATTGTCCTCGAATTTTTGCATCGCGTACAGTAGCTTCTCCGTGACAAATCTGTCTTTACTCGTGTCGTGGGCCAGCACGCGTAGAATGTGCGGCATGAGCTGAGGCAGGTAGACCTTGAACTCCGAGCCCAGCGCGACGGCGATATGTTCGACAAGTAATATCAACGTCGGTTGCAGGGGGCTGTGCGGTGTCCAGAACTCTTTAATCAGGTCGAAGATCTTGTCCAGATAGTTGCGAATGTGTTGCTTCACTATAGCGATGAGCTTCGCCAGTTGCGTGAATAGGAACTCGCGGAAACTATTGTTGTCAGTCGCACGTGCCACATATAGAAGGCTGGGGGTCACCCTTGAGATGTACGGTACACACTTGATGCCCAAAGACTGGAATATAAAGGTCACCGCTTGGACCACACTTGTGTGGTGCTGTTGCAAAGTCGGGTCGCGCAGTATCCTCATTAGTGTAGATATAACGATAGCCGGATAGTACTCGTCCAAAAGCGGCGAAGACATGTTCACCAACATCTCGCTGGTGGTCATATCGAAATTATTCTCCTCGGCTTTGCTATCGGCAACCGGCACTAAACTTGAATCGGGCTGACCGTCTATGAGGCCCCGTGTCAATTTATGCTTGTAAGGATCTAATGCCCCAAGGAGGCCCAAAACGCGAATGGTCTCTCTTCTGTCCTTCGGCTGTTGTTCGGTTTTTAGGAAATTCAGAAGGACGTCCATTAAATTGGGGTACTCCGTGTAGGGTGTCACTACGTAGCCCGTTGCACTGATCAGTTGGCCGAAAGCCCACAAGGCAACACTCCTTTTATCGGTTGCGCTAGCGTCGGACAGTAGATCCAACAGTATGCTTAACAGTTCAGACAGACATTTCTTCAGACCGCTGTTGTCCCCGTGCACATCGGCCAGGTCCCCTATAGCCTTCAACACGCTGATAACAACTCCAGGGTTTGCGTCAGACTCCTTAAGCTTTGGCACTAGAACATTGAGTATTGTCTCCATATACGGTTTTACAAGTTTTGGAGCGTGCAAGATGAGGTTATCCAGCATCCTGGCGGCTTGCTCTTTGTTCCTACTCATTCCGGAGTGTTCCAGTTCCGTTAAAAACTGTATCAATGTCTTTCTAAGACCGGGCATAATGTACGCCGGATTTACTGTGCTCAACCGACCGATGGTACAGATTGCTAGTTCACGTATTTCGAGATGTTCGTCATTCATTGCTATGAATAGGAAGCTTAAGTTTTCTATCTGTGCCAAGTGCATATCGAATATATCCGTCAGAGATTCAAGAACCCAATAGCGCACTTCGTACTCCGGGTCGGTGACGGATACAACTAGCATCTTTCCAACGACTTCTGCAGTTAGCATGGTGAGGGTTCTAGAAGGGTTCTTCACGGTCCGCACGGTGGCGTTTGCCAACAGCTTCGCGGCGGTTTTCACGGCTTCCAACCTGACCTCCTGTTGCTCGCTTTGCAAGAAGTGATCGGCACACCGCCTCACGAAGGTTAGAAGACTGTGATGGCCCTCGAACTGAAAAGTGCCCAGTGTTCGCAACGCCAAGACAATACTCGCCGTGTCGTGTGGTTCGATGATTAGGCTCATGGTGCTTTGTTGTTCCATGCTGCGAGGTACGCCCGGATGCAGAAATGGTTTGTTCCTCAGAACCAAGGAAAGCATATTTAGTAAGCCTGCAGATATTTCTTCCCGAAGAGCTGGTAAGTTTTGGCTCAATTCTTTCAGACAAATCGTTAACGAAGGACTAAGGCCTGTCGCAAACATAGCATCAAGAAGCTCCTTAATATCGCTGACTACTAAATCCTTCACAGCACTACCGAGCAAAGTGATACATGCAAAAATTGATGGGTCAATCCACATTCGTTTTTTGCTCTGTGTATCTCTGATTGGCAGAGCTTGCTTTATAAAGTCCATTATAGTACGAATATAGTTTCTTATGTCATCCTCCAAAGCTGCTGCCATTAAACCCAATGTTGTAAATGCCATGTTTTTATCCTTTTCTTTACTGCGAAGGGACAGAAGAAGGTAGTTCATTGTAGAACTAAGGTACTTCTTCAAAAATAACTCTTTATTGAAAGCTGCTAATCTTGGGATTATGATAAGAAGAATTTGGGGAACTCCCTGAGTTTTAAGTACCCTCTGATTCATCACATCTACAAATAAAATATTATGTATAACTAAAACATCCATATAGATCAAGGGCAAATAATTCTTAATATATCAATGAAAAATTATGACTTGATGCCGCCGTTGCCAAGCCAAAATTCCCACAAGGAACAAGTATTTATGTGACCCTCAGTAAAAAATATATAGTCAAAATCGTTTACAACACATCATAGGAGGATGATGATGATGATGATGATGATATGAATGTCCAAAACCACCCTTACTTAAATGAATTTGGATAAGAAAAACATATAATAGTGCCATTAATTTTTTTTTGTTATTATTTCGAAAACATGCAGGTTTCCTCACGATGTTTTCCTTCACCGCGGAGCACGTGATAAGTCAGCACTTAAAGTTAAAAACTTCATATGTGCCAGCACCGGGGATCGAACTCAGGTTGTTCGAATATATTGAATTACAGGCGAGTGCCCGGGCGCTGAACTATCACAGCTCTAAATCCTAATTTTGTCATAAATAAATTAGTTAAAGATAATGATTTATGATTATTTTTAGCACCATTATAATATTCTTTCATCCTGATGTTCTATTCTTGATGGGCTTTATTTATATTGATAATTTTATTATAATTTAAAACAAAACATGTTTCACAATTACAACATGTTATATTTTCATCTTACCTTGACATATTCGATCATATTCTTCATTTAGTAATTTTCTGCAAACATCTGATTCATAAATAGGAACTGGATACTGGACATTCTCAGTTTTAAAACCATCACAAAGATAACCTCTCTTTACAGATGGACTATGCAATTTTGAGCTTATAAAAATTATATCATCTGACATAGTTATATCCCTTTGTGTGTCCAAACTTTGCATCAATTGTGTATATTTTCTCTCCCAAACTGCATTAGAACATCTTAGAAGTTCATTAAGTATAAGAAGTCCACCATGCACTTTATCTTCTTTAGTTATACCTTTCTCTTTAAAAGGAATATCCTCAAAGGACACCATAGCCTCTTCATAGCACTGCAGGTACCACTGTGGTTTTGCAGTAGACTGTTTTGCTGTTTCTCTCTGAGCTGTCACAACTAATCCAGCTCTTAAAGCCTTGGCAGCGGCTTCTCTTATTTGTTGCTTAGGATCCTTTAATGCAACTAATATATGATCAAAGAATCCGGAAACTTGCTGATAGAAATATGTTGGCATAGCAATGGCCAATTCTTTTAGCAATAAAACAGCTGAATGTCGCCTGCCCTCATTTCTTTCTTCAGACAACCATTCAAATGCTCTCTTTACCTCAAATTCTACATACTCTGCTCGTTTTACTCCAGAAACTGTTGCCAAACGACCCACAGTCTTAGCTGCTAATTCCATAACACCAGCATCAGAGGATGGTAGTAAATTTCTTAAGTAATTAGCAAATCTAGTAATCCTAGTTTTAGTTGTATCACAATCACCCCCAATAAGACAAACTGAAAAATTATAAAAATAAAAATACAATGTTTACCAAACATTAAAGATCGAGTCTTTAGCCTAATGGTTAAAGTCAATGCATAGTGGTAAATGCAATAGGTAACAATTAAGGAATAAAATCAGTTTCTATACATTTCAGCTGTTCACCACAAGAGAAAGTGTTAGGGTTACTCTGAATAAAAAAAATTTCAATGACATTTCAAAGTATTTTCATCAATATGATAACAATCAGTTTCAGCAGTGTTGAATTAAATTTTACCACTATTTTAATAAATATTAAATACATTTGTCCCTAGTTGAGACTAAAGTTTAATATTATACTATCATCATGGGAAACAACTTATTTATTTTTCTCTAGAAGATAATGTCATATTGATATGAGTTCCAACACATAACAAGCTTAAGTCATTAAATGAAACAAAAGCCCAACTACATTAAAAACACTAATTGTGTCTCTATTTAAAAAAAATATACTTCACTTAGACATCTGAGATAAATCTAAAGACTTGGTATGTTGTAATGTGTGAAATTATTTAGGCTGTAGAGTGTACAGAAGAATCAATATACATAATTACATAAATATACTTGAAAAACATTAGCCTTCTTAGACGGTCGGGTAATAAATATGGTAAATGTAAATATAACGAAACAAAATGTTTACTAACCAATCGCCAACACACCGCCTTTCTTCTCATGAACATCATTGCTTGAAACCATTTCAAAAATTTGGTGATTAAATTCGTCAAGGAATTGGGTAAGTTCTTCTTGTGGTACTTCACGCAATTCTGTTTTTGCATAGTGATAAAGCTCACGGGCCGTTTTAGTCTGTATATCGACATTTCGGGACTTTAAACCAGCCACAAATTGAGTGACTTGATTGGACATCTTAAAAAGTGTTATTTCTTAATCGTTCACAAAATCTGTAGCAATGAAATTCGATACTCCATACTTTCTATTTTGTTGTTAAACTTTTATATTCGTAGTTTATTTACAAATACAAATCAATATCGCAGTAAATAATAAAAATTGCCTTTGACAACTACGGTGACACAAATAAACACACTCGAACTCACGTTTTCGTATTACTTATTACTACTATATTTCTTTATCTGTACTGGCAACACTTACCAAATCACTTATAAAAAATAGAAGTGTTGTAATAAAACTTGTTATTATCGACTAAGTAGATATTCGAATTTCTCTGAATGAAAAAAGAACAATCAGTATAAATAGGTACAAAAAAAAAAAAGATATATTTTAAAAAGTTAAAATAAATTAAATATTTTCCTAAAATGATTAAAGATATTAAATAATTATTGTCTATGGTTACATGGCCGATATTCCATTCATTTGAAGCTTCCTTTTCTTTCTCTGTTCTGTCGTAAAGATACCTGTGTTCGGGCGGTCGTCATTAAAGATATCCTTAAAAATTATTAAATGAAGGTGCTATAAGTGTTAATTTTATGAAAAAGCTGTAGGTTATAAATTGTTAAATAATGATCTTGCTGGAGATCAATAATAGAATTATAGAAGAAACTCTAACAGTTAAATATAAAAATGCACTGGCGCGGTGAGTACGTTACGCTTAGAAAGTTTACCAGTTTTTACAATAGTTACGCGTATTCTGTTAGTGGTGAGCATTACGTTATAACTACTTAAAATGTTAGGTTTAATGTACTTTTAATTGTAGTATTAATTGTAATTTATCTATAACCCCTTTTCCTAAGTGCCTTGACAAGTGTCAAAAACTATTACTCCAGGGTGGGCCCACGTTGACCGCCGCAAAAAGAGATATTTATTTTATTATGTTATTTTTAGACGAAAAATACTTAATTTTCCTTGGTTCAATGTCTGTATGACGTGATACGGTCCGTATCAGTATGGATGACTCATGTAGGTTGTTTGTCCGTACTTGCGGGGAGTGCGGAAACGTCCCATAAAGTGTTTTCGGATTCCGATGGGTGTAAACAATGTGCATTAATTTTGATATGTGACACTGATATACTGCAACAACAATAAGTGGTTGCAGATAACCGGTATTGTTTTGGCAGGATATGAGTAATGATTTAATCAGTTATGAATTTGGTATATTTTTATTTTTATTTAACTGTTACAGCTTAAAACCTGAATCCATTGATGTTACTGTTGCCGATTTCGATGGTGTGCTGTTTCATATTTCTAATGTAAATGGAGATAAAACCAAAGTTAGGGTATGTATTTTAATTCTTGTTTACAGCTCAATTACATTTTATTTGATATAATGTATCATGTTTGTTATTATGTAATATTTTATTTCTTGGCTTTGGTATCACAGGTTGTGATTTCAAATCCCATATGAGATATTAAAGTTGTATTATCTATAGTTAATTGGTCCCAAATGTAGAATTTTTTCATGTTCATGATAATAGTTCATAACTCATGAAACTGTTGATCTACAGAAAGATGAATATAGCTAAAATATTTTTATTGTAATATTTCTTTAAACTGTATGTGTGATCTATCATGTCTCTAAATTAATTTTAAGTAATGTAACAAGTAAGCATCGCATATTATAATGAATTTAACATTCAATGTCAATACAAATAGTAGACCACTGTTTTAAAATGTTCTAGCCATAGTCTTAGCTCATGTATTTTATTTACTTTTCAGGTTAGTATATCATTAAAGTTTTACAAGCAGTTAGAAGAACATGGTGCAGACGAACTGCTTAAAAGGGTTTATGGACCACTCCTTACTGAGGCAGAATCAGGTAATATTATTCATTAGTATTAGATTTATATTGAATTTTATTAATATAAGTTGATAATCTATACAAATGAAATTAGAATGGGGATTAGGTTATTGATAGATCTCAAATTTGCATTTTGTTATGGAGTATTGCGGATCTGTTTTTTCTAAGTTATATTGTTGAAACTGTGATTCCCCTATGATGTAAAAGGCAGACATATCATAAACCACCCATGTGGCATAATGTTAATTATATAGATAGCAATTTTAATTTTTTCTGTAATACCCACTGTAATTATATGCATACCTCAAAATTGAGTTTTTACTCTTCAAAGATCTTTTAGATTAACCTTAGTGTCTTAGGGTTCCCTATGGCCCATGCATGGAAATTTGGGATTTATAATACAAATATAACATTTTTGCTTACAATAAAATTTATATTAGAGTGGTTAATGTTCTTTTCAATTACAATGAGTCGATTTGTTTCCTAGACTGTACAGGCATTTAATAGACATGTAAACTCAAATTTAAAAGATATATACAAAACTTTCAAATTGAAATAAACACATTTGTTCAAGGTGTAGGCTCAGCCAAGCATTTATGTTATGGTTCATAAATTTTTCTAACCTAATTGCTTTGTTGCAAAATCTTTCATTAGGTTGTTTGTGCAAAATTATTGATGATATTGTTGTAAAGTTTTAAGCAACAGGTTACAGACATTGTGATAATCATAAAGTTGAAAATTATGCTGTCATTGTTGCCTTATCATTACTTTGTGTTATATATACTTGTTTAACATTACAACTGTTTATTAAAATCAATGACAGTTTCAAGTTTGTTGTTACTAACCAGTCTTTGGTTACGGTAATTAATTTTTGGGTGTGGTTTGAAAGTACTTGATATTGATATTATAAACATGTCTAAAATTGTTCTATTAGAATAAATTTTTACCATAAAACAAGACTTGGAAAATTTCGAATTTTAAATATTCAGCTATCCTAGCCGAATAGCATCATCGTATTATACAAAAAGCATTTGATCAATGCACAGTGGGAAAAGTTTTCTTTAATTACCTTCTTCCGATGAATTTTGACAAGTTTATCATATTCTTGTGTCTTGATATGTTTTTAAGTTATACTGTGTAAGATTTAAGTAAGAATTAAGTATTAACGATTTAGGTATTCACTAAGAATAAGTAATGTACTTCAAGGATGATAAACAAGATCTGAAAAGGGTGGTGTGGTGTGCATCAGATCCTGATTCAGAAAAAAACATCTTTGCAGTTATTCATTCACAGTAATAAAATAAATCAACATTTTAATTTGAACAAATATTTATAAAAATAAAAAAAATAGAGATATAAAAGAACTGAATTTTGTTGCAAGTCTACGATAAATTATGACCGTAAATGCCAAACATTGTTAAACTGTGATATCTATATCTTGAAGCAGATAAGATTAAAATTGTTAGTAAATTGGAATGTGTCCATTCTAAATATTTTAAAATAATCTTATGGCTATAAATTTATCAAAATTTAAGACATTTCAAACAAAACAAGACTATTTTAGCCTTCATGTTTTTAGTGAATTTCTGATATCATATTCATATCATTTGAATGGTTCAAAATTAATATATGTGTTAACTACACATATTTTATTCTTTAAGTGAAATATTAAAGTTATAAAACCCCTTCTGAAATGAATTAATTTTTGTTATAGGTTATAATGTATCTGTGCTTTTGGATATGGAGAACATCCCCGACGATTGGGAAGACATAGTGAAGAAAGTCGGTCTCCTAAAGAGAAATTGTTTTGCATCTGTATTTGAGCGCTATTTTCGTCTGCAGGAGGATGGAGATGTTAGTCACAAACGAGCTGTTATCAACTATCGGCAGGATGAAACACTGTAATATGTCACATATTGTATTTTGTTTATATGACATAAAAATTATATACATTGAAATATAAATATGATTATAAATTGCAGTTATGTGGAGGCTCAAGAAGATAGAGTCACAGTAGTATTTTCAACAGTGTTCCGTCATGAGGATGATATGGTCATAGGCAAGGTGTTCATGCAGGAGCTTAAAGAGGGAAGAAGAGCTTCACATACTGCACCACAAGTAAATATCAATGATTTCGACCTATCTAAATAATAAATTCTTGACTTAAAATGTGTTTATTATCTTTGCAAATAACGCAAATTATATTTACCAAAATGATTTATTAATTCATCTGATATCTTTTCAGGTTCTGTTTTCCCACAAGGAGCCGCCGTTAGAGCTTGTAGACACGGACGCGAGAGTCGGTGAGAACATCAGTTACGTCACCTTTGGTTAGTTTGACAGACTACTCTTTTCTTTGAAAGCTTTCATACGCAAGCAAATATAATAATATCAATATCTTTTTCGCCCAGTGTTGTTCCCGCGGCACACGTGCGAGGCGGCGCGCGACAACACCATCGACCTGCTGCACATGTTCCGCGATTATCTGCACTACCACATCAAGTGCTCCAAGGTGTACGTACACTCGCGCATGCGCGCCAAGGCCGGCGATCTGCTCAAGGTGCTGAACCGAGCCCGCCCGCAGCCCTCCACGCGCCCCACCGAGCGGAAGACCATCACGTTAGTTCAAAACCATTTGCATTTCTACCCTGACTGGGTAGATGATTCACCAAATTTTTTAAGACCATCTTATTTGGATAATATTTTGTAATCCTAACGTTTTACTGTAAACATAATTAATTTCCAAAACATTTTTTCTTTATATTACGAGCTGTGGAGTGGGCTATGCTCGGTATTTCTCTGCAATTGAGTTCGTAATGAAGACATACCATAAGATAAAACCTTCCTAGCGAATTCGAACTCGCTGGAAAGGTTTTATTTTCGTTTTGGCTCCCTGTCATCCAAAGCGATCGACGCTTAACTAAGCAATATAAATTTATAATCGTTAATTAATTATCATTCCAGGGGAAGAACGTTTATAAGGCGAGATTGAGTGTGGTGTGCCTGCGGGACATAGGCGCCGAAGACAGCGTAGCTGTTCCCTGTCACGCAACACTAACGTGCCACTCCGGTAACATCTCCTGCCTACCAGCGCCGCATCGTGTTCACTGCAGACGATACTCTTAGTTATAGCTATCTACGTAAGAGCTAAATTCCTTTGACACTTCAGAGATATTATTCGAGTGGACGCGTTACTCTACCCAGAAGCTCCCACAATGTGCGTATTTCTCATACCTAACATATAAAAGTCATTAATATGCACTTGGTGTTGATTTTTGTGTATTTATTGAAAGTTATATTTGTCGTGAAGTACTTACTACTGACAATGTATAATTATGCCAACATTCATATTCGAAAACTGTTTGCCAAATATTGAATATGCTCAATATTATATCCTTAGTTAAATTTGCAAACGCTAAACGAGATGTGCACATTGTAATGCAGATATTTATTATCAATAAACTCTTGAAGCCTAGCCTAGTGATGTCAATAATGTTGCCGTAGTATTTGTTGATAAACAAAAATTATGCTTTATTATTATTAAAATGAGAGTTCTATTTACAGCGATGGCACTGCAACATTCGTGATTTGGGTTCCTAAATCGATAGTTTACACTCTGTCATATAAAATGAATTCATAGATCGCTGTAGCGGCCATCAGGAGTGGACCTTTCTATTAGCTATTTACGTAATTTTGTTGATGTAAGTTATGCAATTACCGATCCTTATGTAGAGTAAAACTGTATTATAAAATGTAGCCTATACTAACTGTTTCGATTTACAAACTTGTTAAAATGTAAATGTCTGGAGTATAACAGATTATCATGCACAAACTTACGAATTATTCAATGGTTATGTTAAAATGCACTCCTCTTGTTTCATTGTGCTACGCAATATTGCGAACAATAATAATTTTAACATGATTCTCTTTTATGTTTCTAGGTAGGACCCATTCAATTATTAATATAAGTGAAAGTGTATAAATATTTCCCAATAGATACTTCCATAGACAAGAGAGAGTTCAATGAGTGAATTATAATGGCCTTATTTATACAAAAAAATATATAAATACAGTTTGCTCTGTTTGTTGAGATGATTAGCACTTTGGTTCAATAGTGTCGCTAGTTTAGATCAAGATCATGGTATGAAACATACCCATTATGTAAGTCCAACTTGACCTTTCAGAACATTTCAATTCCATAATGCATTTATATCATTTTGGTGAAGAGTAATGTGCTCTCAAAAGTATACAGCGTGTCGTTACCATCGCGACAGTAAATAAACACACATATAGGGGATAACTTTTTTAAGTTGTATTAAACATTTAAATTCTTTAAACATCAATATTTACCGAGTTATTAAATTTTCCAAAACAAAGAATTTTAGAACATCCTCACATATAAAAGCGTAACGTAAAGTTCATTTGTAGAGGTCACAAAGCATATGAATGGGTTGAATGAATTTAAAAGAGACAAACATACTGTTAGAAGGAGAGGCTTGTAATGCGACGCTGTGGCGCGAGTTGTATAGGATATTACAAATTTTGTTTCTTTTTTACTTAATTACTTTGTTTGAAAAATATTTTTTTTTAATTATGGATTTTGTTTAACTTTAATATTTTTTTATGATTATTGGCATGTAGCGTTAGACGTGTGTTCATTTATTGTCGCGATGATAACGACACGCTGTAGAACAAATGCTGTTTATAATAATGTTGCTAAAGAAATATTAATTTTTGTATCTTAAGTAATGAAAAATGTTATTTTATCATTTTTAAAACCTATCAAAATTGTTCAACAATAAACTAAAGAAACTGTAAGTGCAACAGCGTCAAGTCAGCGTTTCTCATAAATACATTAAATGGGTATGAAAGTAAAATTAAGTAAAAGTTAAAGGTCATTTTTATTTGCATGAGATGTGGCATAATTTAGAAGTCAATGACTGAGAGATTTAGGATATCAAAATTAAAAGAAAATTCAGCAATCCAATGGATAAAATTAACTAAGTCATAAAATATGTTAATTAGACTTAATTGATGCCATTAAACCATCAGGACATTTCATAAAATCAGTTGTATGTTTGGAATAAGAAAGAAACATAATATCATCATGTAGAAACAATTTTACTATTTAAAAGAAATTGTAGCTAACTTGAATTTTATGTAATTTTAATTTGCAAGATGTATTATTTATGTATTATAAAATGTAAGTTAAATGTTGCTTTAAAGTTATTGCTTACAATTTGATCATTGTTTTTACTGACAGTTTTAACGCGAGATTATGTAAACTGTGCAAAATGTGAATGTTATTTGTGAATATGTAATTATTCTTGTGATCTAAAATCCGTTTATACTGTGTTTTTTATTTTCTAGATTAAAGAAGACATTTTACTGCAACAAAATATTAATTATTTGACTCTTAATACAGGTACACATTACAGCAATATTGTTTTATTTGTATTGACATCTTCAAGATGAAGTACTCTCTAAATAGAAAAATTAAATCTAATATAAGAATTGCAGAAATAAGTTCAATATATCAATGAAATTAGCATGCAACAAGTATTAAAGTAAATATTTATTCATATAGTATTAGTATAATAGTTAAGCAAACTCTACTAAATACTGCCAGTGTTAAATTGGAAATTTCAAATTTCTGGATCGGTATTGTTATAACACATTAAAATTTCTGTGAAGTATGAAGTCTGAAGTAGTACTATATGAATTAATACTTATATTGCTTAGACATATATAATATTAGGTACATGTTTATATTATTAATATCGCGTAGATATTGCGTCAGTTGGGTTAGGGGCGTTCTAATTAAGTGAGGTGTATTTAGATTTTTTTGCTCCCCCTCTTCCTTGGTAACATATCTCAACGCCCTTTCCCATCCCCCAATCTAACATGGATTTTTCAAAATACACATATTTCGTAAAAGCATCTGATATATTCTTAGAAAAAAAATGTTTAATAATTTTTCTACGATGTTATAAGATTCAAAGAAGAGGTGGATATGGCACTAGCGCATGAAACTGAGGCACTCAAATTACGCCAACTAGTGTAATTAGATTGTAACGTTCTATATCATTCCCACATTCAGTTACATATGTCATATAGTGTTTCCTCACAACGTTTATCTTAACCGATTGGGCACGTTGGAAGAGTACAATGTACGATACGTACTGATGAACGTAACCTCTACCGCGAGCCAGATAGCTCTTATGACGTCCGGCAGAGTGAGAAATAGCATATCTAAAAACTGGCCTACCTGAAGTTCTTGTTTACACGACGTTGCTAGCTCTTGTACTATAACATATTATAAATGCACGCTTTACTCTGGTTTTATGATCAAGCAGCATCTGATATTGCACACGTTAGCAGATTTTTTAAAGAAAACAATCCCGCAATTGGATAATCATACCTGTCTACGGAAGATTTCACTTTGAAGATCACTGATACGAAGTACACGCAGATTTGGAACAACTTAATTATGGATCATCCAACTTTTAACCCGAGTGGGGATCGAACCCACAACACAGCCAATGTGCATTTTCGTGTTAAAGTGACAATCTAAGTTCAAAACCTTAATGGCTAAACGTGGAATCTAAGATTAAAAAAACCTTTGTATAGTCTTTTAAGTTAGGTTACTGGGGCCCAGTGGGGTTGTAGTTACGAAACTGCAACGCATCGGATGTTTTATTGGACAAGCGGCGGTAATAACTTAGTTACGTTCTCCCTTTAAAACAAAAAAGTGTCTAGATGATTTATTTTTCTCTTCTTTCAGAAGTTGCTTAGCACGCGGTATTTAAACATGTTATCGACGAGATTATATAAATATGTTATTATATAGTTTCCAAAATTAAAAAAAATGCTAAGCATTGCAGCAAATCTTTTATTAACATAATTGCAACATTTATATAAGGTTCAGAGACTTGGTATGTACCTATGTTTTATTAAAACTGTATGTATATTGATGGCATTTTCTTAGAAGTCAATTTTATTCCCAGTAGGTGGCGGCGACGTTGGTGATTTCGGCTGGCTGAGTTTCGAGAGATGTGCGACTTTGGTCGCGAACTTGACGAAGTTTAGCCCAGACGTTTGCGCTTCAGGTTGCTGCCCATTTTCCGGTTGGAACGACGCGTCTAGTGAGCCTGGACGATGAAAAGATCATAAATATTTTGTTTTAATTCTCGACACAACCTTAATGACGTTTTACTCGTCTTATAGCTAAAAAACACAATTGGAAAAAGAGAGAATTTCGTTCTCGACGATTGATGAAAATTTCAAATAATGCTAATGGAAGGGAATCAAAATCGGCCAAAAACGCAACGGTGCACTTACGCCGAATTGAATGTATTTGAATATTACAGAAAATAATGAGCTAAGGAACTCAAGATTTCATATGTAAAGAAATAATCAACGTTTGCATGCATCACGAAACATAATTTTAATTAGTTGTTAAAATGATTGTCACAATATTTTCAGGAAAAAACTATCTCTTCCTTGGCCTGTTTCTTCTCCGTTACAGGAACACCATTACGAAACGGTGGTAGTTTAAAAAAATGGCTATTTTGATGAATAAATGATTTGATGTTTGGATAAATATAACTTATCAAACACACCTAATCCGGGCATATCCGGACATCATTAAGTATTTATGGAGTTCATAAACGAGTTGAAAGAATTGCGCAAAGTTAATACTGCTTGCCGAATTTGTGATGAGAGAGCCTAAATCAACGAAAGCGTTCCATTTTCCATAACCTTCTGGCCCTGTCATGACCCAATTTCTACCGCGCTTGAAAGTTTATACTGCGCTTAATTTATGTATGTTATGTCTAGACACAAAAGACGCATACGTTGGCATGTCTGGTATAAACATTGGAATGGTTTTTAAATTATATATGAATTTCTGCTTACTCTGTTGTGGTGACATAATGGAACTCGGCTGTGATCCCTGCTGATTGTCCTCCATTGAATGCGATTTCTCGTGTAACAGTTCCAAGGCTGGCGGCGAAATAGTGGTTCAAAGTAAAATTAATTATTCCGCTTGCTGTTTGACTGATGTTATCTTATCATTAAACAAATTAGCATCAAGAGATTTTCCGCTTGCGGCCAAATAAGCTCAGTACATAAAGTCAGTATCAAGAATTATAGCCTAGAGTTTTTACTAAGAAACTGTTATCCATCACAGTAAACAAAAATAGGCATTTTGATTTTTTTTTTCTATCATATTGCTTTTGTTTATGTAAAAAGAAATTGACCAGTAATTGTGATCATGTCGTTTAACTTACGACCTATTCACTGTTTCATCCATCCGACAAATACATCAACTCACAAATGTGACACAGACACCTATTTGCCAATGAAACCCATGCACCATTTTCGAAAGACTTATACAGTGTGTCTTTACAACCGCGACAATAAATTAACACAAAGATAGAGGATAACTTTTTAAAATTGTATTAAACATTTACATTTTTTAAACATCAATATTGACAGAGATATTAAATTTTCCAAAACAAACAATTTTAGAACACCCCTGCGTAAAGCTGTAACGTAAAGTTCATTTTCATTCGTAGTACCTCACGAACCTATATGTATAATTTTTATGTAAAATTTGACGATTCATAAGAACGCGTAAGCGTCTATTTGAATAAAGATATTTGATTGATTGATTGATTTGTAAAGGTCACAAAGCATATGGATGGGTTGAATGAATTTAAAAGAGTTAAAACATACTGTTACTGTGAGAAGGAGAGACTTGTAATGCGACGCTGTGGCAACGAATGAAAAAGTATCTAAATGTATAAATCAGTCAGATGTAGCTGTATAGGTGTTACAAATTTTGTTTCTTTTTTTATTAAATTAATTTGTTCGAATTTTTTTTTAAGTATGGATTTTGACGTGTGTTCATTTACTGTCGCGGTTGTAACGACGCTGTATAATACGGTTCGGAAGAACACGAGACATCTTAAATGAGCCTAGAAGTAAATTATTGCCGTAAAGACAACATGGTTATATTCACTGTCACAGAGCAACAAGACAGCTGAACGTTGTTAGTTCACCCGGGAAGAACCATGACTTTACACTCGTCGCAAAAAGGTGTAAAGTAAAAGTGTCTACTACTTTGCGTTAAACCCTGATACAGTCATATGTGATGCTTAGGAGGCTGACGCCATTGCGACACGCCTGCAATATTTCTGATATATCGCCTGCTCAATTGCGCAGTTAAAGACTATATATAGACATTTATATATATTTAGAATACTTCTATCTATGATGTTGTATTTGAAACTCACTATATTATATATCGGTAAAGTAGCAGTTTCGTTAGAGCCATCGCAGTCCAGGACGATTCCCCATAAAAAAATGTGCAGGAAATCGACGGATGCAGGTGGTTCATGATGGTGCTTCGTGACTGTCTGTGGGGGAGGCCTATGTTCAGCAGTGGACTAGTACAGACAGAAATGAGGATGATGAATGATGATACAGACTAGATTGTTATACATATCTGTTGCAAGCATTGCAAAATTAATCGCAACATAATTCAATGTATTACTCCATACTCGTGTCAACTAGGTACCGTCTTTTAATGACATTGCGTCCATCTTAGAGTCTTGAATAGTTTCGAGTTGTTGTCGGAACTTGATGGTAATTTTCCGGCGCTGGTAGTCCGCCTCGATTTGCTGCTTTGTGCGCGGAATACGAAAACGGAAGCAACAGCAGAGCATCACAACTGGTATGAATTGAAAAAAAAAAAAAGCGTTAATCGGCAACCACTAAAGTTTGGTTCTTTATTTGCCTATGTAAAAATTTTAATCTTAATATTGGAGACCATCGCAAATGCTTAATTTTTATATAATTCAAATTATTTTTTTTTATGTGACTGGTTCGCCTAATGTTACATCATGACAACTCCCATGGAAATTAGCAAAATCCATAGGGTTGCAGGTGCGTTGCAACCTTTCAATGCCTTACCCGGACGAGCCTGCCCATTCGTGCAACAGCTGAAGCTGTTTACGTGGCCCTACACACAGTAAAATTTTTTCACCACAGTAAAATTTAATTATCTGTTTGTCACAATAGTCTTGATTCAGAATATTTTTTTATAATAAAATGCTATATTCATCCCATTAATTTGACCTTATGAACGCAAACAATAGTTAAAATTTTCCATTAATTGATGAACAATATAAGTATATCATTGTCTTTTGGTAAGATCAGACACTCATGTTTGAACTGTTATATTATGCTAAGTTGCATTAATGACATCACGTTGTACTTACCAACAGATGTTATTCCAGCTAGACATAAAAACATTATTTGCCAAACTCTTAATCCGCCGCTTACTGCTTTTTCAAGCCATCCTGGCTCCGCCGAATTTTTAATAGCATCCATAAGTGGATCCAACATGTTGAATACAAAAGTAATTAAACTGCAATAAGTAACAGGTTCACAAATATCCCTTTAGATGTAAAAACTAATTGTCCCAATTTCATAGAGTGATTAGCAGCCACACCTGTATGTAGGAGCCCTCGGCACACCCTTAGTTCCCATTAGAACTTGAACTAGCGTTATCGACATTTACCAATGACTGAAACTATTACTTCAGTAATTTGAATAACTCGTTAATTTATATATCGTTTAATTGAATAACCTTTGTTTAATGTATTAATTGTTAAGACGATGGTGTGTATTGTGTGTTTAAAACTTAAGTTAATAATTTGAAATCGCCTCCATTCTTGCATTGTGTTTGGGTTTCTATATAAAAAAAAATCTTTTTTGCTTATTTGATAAATACGCGATAAAATAATATAATAATTCTTTATGATCTTGAAATATTCTTTATGATGATCTGTAACAATATTTTCAAAAACTTAGTTTAATATTTAATAATCGAATCCAAAAAGTGGCAAATTGCGATTATATGTACGTACGTATAAAGTTTACAAGTGTTGATAGTAATTTAAATCTTTACCGATGCTTATTGGATACCGTAATTTTTAAAACAAAATAGGTACTGCGAAGATTGTTACAATTAGATTTCTATGCCTTACACTACAGTATTTATTATTTTTTATAATGACAACATTTATTCGATCGTTTTTCTCTTTCATTTGAAGACTGTTTCATCTCCCCGCAGAAAATAGGGTGTCGAAACTATCCTATAACCTCAGTTATATTTATTACAATTTAAAGATTAAAGATGTATCTTTTATGATAATTGTAATTTAATTTGTGTACAGGTTGTTCTAAGTGATGTTGTGTAAGATCTACCGTGTTCTTGCGGTTAATCTGTAGCGTTTTTAAACATTAAACATGGCCTCGAACCGTGGAATTCAGATTGGATCCGCGTGGTTTCAACGGAAGCTGAACTTGAGACCACAGCATCGGGGCGTACATCTTGTTACTGAGGAAATCCTCAAGCAGGTGCCAGAACTGTCACAGTTTGCGGTCGGTCTCTGCCATATTCAAAGTGAGTATTAAATGTTTAAGTAGGTAGTGTTCTTGCCGCCTACGATCAGCATCCCCTCCCTGACACTAGCTGGATATAAAATCAAATAGCCGTCTAGCGTTCATATTGAATTTATTCGCTTCATATCACAACAAATGCGTGGGTTATTAATGCATTCCTAACCATAACGTAACAAACAAGCTGACCGACGCTGTTAACTGTTTACAGTAATGCATACTTCGGCCAGTCTCGCACTCAACGAAAGCTGGGACCCTGATGTCAGAGACGATATGGAAATGATGCTCAACAAAATAGTGCCAGAGGGCCTTCCTTATCGCCATTCGTGTGAAGGACCAGATGATATGGTAAGGTTGTTTTACTGTAGGTTGTTTACTTATAAAAACAAATGTTCTAAATTTGAATAACAAAACTGTCATTGGTGACAATGCTTACACACTGTTGATTGCATGTTTATCAACATTATGTTTCTTTAATTTCTATTTTAATTGATCATTCCCTTTAAAATCATCTATTTTATAAACACTAATTTGTACATTTAATTTAATTTAATTTTTATTTATAATTATCATATTTAAATAACACCCATTGCATCATCATTGGCTTATGTTTGTTATCTTCCATATGTTAATCAGTCAGTTTTAATAACATGTTTGTTCTAAAGTCATTGTAGTATTAATACTAATGTTCATATAATAGTTACTTTCTTAGAGATAGACATTTATAAGTTTTATTTGAGTATGTTTTTGAGTACTGACTGCAGCTTAAAACATGATAGGGGCTCATAATTTTGAATGCTGTCATTATGAATAAATTTTATTCACTCTCTTACTTTCGATATTTTCGTCAACATGATTTCTTATTATTATTTAAGAAGATAGCCAATGAGTTCGGGGTTCACCTTTGCAACACCCTTAGGGTTGCAGATGCATTGTCACCTTTTAATAAATTGTATCCTGTTAACCTTACCAGACAAAACGCAGAAGTGTAACACATCCACTTCACACCGGTCTTTTGTTAGATTGTGGTATGGGGAAGTGAAACTTCATTGTTTGCATGGCTGAGCAAAAATTATAATTTTTAAATATTTGTATAATTAATGATTATTTGAATATTGGGAAACAATTCAATTACACTTATTTAGTATTTTCTCTTTAATCCAAAATGTATGATAATTTATTATGAATAATATTCATTTTTCAATCTCTTAGTAAAAATTAAAAATTATTTTTAAAATATATTTTTTTTCTTTATACAGCCTGCACATGTGAAGGCATGTTTCTTAGGTTCATCACTTACCATTCCAATCACAGACGGAAAATTAAATCTGGGTACATGGCAAGGTGTGTGGTTATGTGAACATAGGAATCATGCTGGCAGCCGAAAGGTAAATGTAGTGTTTTCAACTGTTTCTCATTTCAAATTAAACTGAATAAAACATGTTATCATATGCTATATTTAATGTTTTCCTTTGTTTTTGGATCTAAATTTAGCACCTAATAAGGAAAGTTAACAAAAACGGAAGCCTATTTCAATCTAAAAAAGAAAGATCTATTTCCTCTAAAACGTTCTTATATGCATATACATAATGTAAGATTACAATATTGTATGAAGTAATTTTTTGATGATGCATATGGCTGTTGATGATGCTTATTTTCTTCACAGGTTGTAGTGACTCTCTCAGGGTGTCCACGGGACTCACCTCTGTCACCAGTGTCTGCCGCGTCATGCTCCAGTTAGGAAAGGGGGGGGGGCGCGACCCCCCACACGCATTCCCATTCGCGCCCCTCCTCCAAAAGCACGCGGAGGTAAACTCCGCGACCACACCTTTTGTATCCCACACATAACCTAGATGTTAGTCCTTATTCTTACCTTCAAGTGACAATATGTACATAAGATAAATATTTTGTAACACTTTGCTTGGCAATTTTTACGTGTCTCCTTGTCGAGTATTAATATAGTCCGACACACAACATCAAATGGTTTTACTATCAAATTGCCATGCAATGTATAAAAATGTTATGTTCAGTTAAACATGGCTGAACCCATTATAAATGTACATAAATATTATGTGCAAACATTTTAAAGTATACATAAAAGAAAGTAATTGTTGTTTTGTTATTGCAATTGTCAATATGTATATAGAAGATGTGTGAACATTATAACATTCCACTTTATAGGTTTTGTTATTAAACAGGTTTAAGTGACACCTATTTGAAAACATGAATGCAATGTTATTATGATTAAACTATAGAATTTATTTGTATTAATTAACTAAATCCCATTATGGAACTTGTTTAAATTATTCCATATTATTCCCCGGCAGGCTGTAATATTTTTTGTCAATACACTTTTTACATTAACCACTGATTTTACCTCACGTATGAGATTGCACTGTATAACAGTAAATGTAAATTTTATGTGGTGCGAATCAATTATATACATTAATAATAACTTTGTACCAATTGCACCATTTACTCTCCATATAAGGTTATTTTCTGTAATTGGTTAAAATATGAAACATGTCCATAGCTTTAAACATGTCACACCCGTTGTATCAATGGGTCCTTGGCGGAATGACAAATTGCGAGTTTGCCCTATAGTATGTAGTGGTATATCATTACTATTAAGGTCATTTAAGTGCCTCGATTTGAGGGGGTGATCATGTTTTCATTTGCAGGCATTTCAGGGGCTTTCATAGGGTGGAAATCGAATTTCAGACTCATTCTTTTCTTTAATCATATATATCACATTGCACTGGATAACTGGACCTTTTGACCTTTATACATTTTAACACAATTTTCACTTACTAAATAATTGCTATGAACACAGAGATTTACCTACCATTCACAACACTATTTAAATATCAAAAATATTTTTTAATTTTGCATAAAATATATGTATAGTTGTATGTCTTCCTAAGTAAGTTCCATCACACAAGATTGCAATTAGGGTAATAATGAATGAGGTAAAGTAATTGGAGTTTGTGAACGGAATTAGGGTATGGTTATCACCTTTATATCCGGCCACAGCTGTATAACTTAGGCTGTAATGTTATTACCATAGAAAGCTTCAATACAGAGTCTTTGGCAGCATAGAGGAATGTAGGTGTTTATATAGAAATATAAAATGGAGTAACCGATAGTGAGTGAAATCGTTTTTATATGAATCGAAAATTAAATTATTTTATTGGGAGTGATTTATTTTGAATTACTTTTAAATCACTGTAAATGTATTGTAAGCTTAAAAAATTTAAAATTTAGGGTTACCAGAGTACAACCAAAACCACTGTGGCCAGTACCTTGTGTGCATTAGATATCTGTATAACAAAATATTTTTTTATATCTCTGAGAAACAAGTATTTCAATTTGCAACAAGCTAATGAAAGTCTTTTGTTGCATTCAGCTTTAAACCTAAATAGCCCATCAACATTGCTTGTAATGCACAACAAATTGAAAGATTAGTTAGGAGATAATAAATTATAAATAGTAGGCTACTGGATAGGTAAATAAAAAATAGCTAAGTTGACAGCGGGAATGAGTACCCACATATACTGCCCATAATGGGCACTATTTATACACGCACAACTAGGGCAGGCCGCGGTCAACTTTGCAAGAACATTGTTTTTATACTGCATTGTACAAAACTAGATGTCACAGACAAGGTCATTTGTTTCATTGAAACAATTTTCAATTTTAGGCTTAGTTCACTTATAAATCTTGTCAATATATTGTTTTTGTTATTATATTGGATCTTTTTTTGCATGATTAAGTGTAATAGTTTGCAATTAAGGCATTACAATGGCTTTTATATTTGTTCACATATACTTATTGCTTCAGGTTTGTAATATATAAATAAGCACAAATTATTTATTAATTTATCACTTAGATTTTCATGGTAATAATAACAAGGCCCTTTTGGATATAATTTTTCTGGGAGTTGATTTGGGCATATTAATAATAAATGCTTTTTAACAATATTAAAGTTTGTATAAATTTTTTGCAATAATATATAGCATACGTAAAATAATATTCATGTACATAATATGTAAAAAGATTTGAGTGCAGAAAGTGTATGAGTTAGGCATGCCACTGCCATTACCAATTTGCCTGTTTACAATATTTATATATATTAAAAAATATTTGGCATATTGTTGTCGATTTGATGGGTTTATATTATTGGAAGTCACACTCCTAAAATATATATGTGGATAAAAAGCAAAGCAGTAATAGTTCCGAATTAAATAGCTGCGGCGACTGGTTCGCCTAAGTTTACCTGACATTCCTTAAATATGCATTTTTATACATTCTGAAAACTTTTTAATTTGTCTATGCAATTTAGTTAGTTTATGAATATTGAGCACACATTTTAGGCTGTTTTATAACAACGAATATGTCTAGAAAGTTACCTTTAAGTAAATTTCAACCAAATGCCCATTTTATTAGGTATTGTGCAACATTGACTTGTGTATGATCAAATTAGTATGCGTAACAACAAAATGACCATTTAATTTAGAAAAGGAACACCAAAGTACTTAACTACCACAATTATTGGTAGTCTAAGCATGTGTGATACTTTATGTAGAATTGTTACATATAGGTAAAACATAAAAGGTCAAATTAGATTTATACAAAATTTACGGCAATCGAAGCACCGTTGCACCATTTTTAATATAAAAAAAAATATTATTGCTCTGTCTATAAACATGATATATATATTTTCTTTGTACATTCATGAATATATAGTATTGCTTTGTTATTTCATGTTTATATTTAATTTAGTTTGACTTATCTATCCATGTTCATCAAAGTACACTTATAATGAAAAATATATGTTATATTTGTCATTATGAGTAAAGCGTAAAAGAGAATGTTCTTTTAAATTTAATTTGACTGAAATAAAATTGAACCTATGTCTAATGATTCTTACTGTTGCTTTCCTATATTTTTTAAATATTTTGGTTTATTGTAATACATTTTGGTTAATTGAAAATGCATTGAATGCTTATCAAACTTAAGAAACTTTACCAACAAATTTATTTAATGACTGGTTCTATAGAAAACCAAAGGAAACTAAAAACTGTTATGTATCCATTTTAATTGGTTAATTGATTCTCATTTATTTTATTTCAATAAAACTGAAGGAAATGTTACTATTTAACATTTTCTAAATTATAATGCCACTTCATAATTATATTGCTATAATATTAGACACCAGTCTGATTTGTGTCGTTAAGAAATTTGGGAGCCAAAAACATTTTTAATTTAACTAATAATGTGAAAATATTTGAACATTTCTGCAGTGTATGCATCAGTGGCCTTCTGCACATAAAACATTTTAGTCATACTTTTGCTGCTGAAAGCTTTAATATATTATCTGAAAACATGTCATCAATGTTGTTTTTATTTTCTTTGTAAAATTAAAAAAGGGATTATTGATCCACTTGCAAATTTATTTTTATTTCTAAAGTAATGATAATTTCAATTAGTAATAAATATTGGATCAAATGTAAATGATTTTGGTTGTTTTTATTTTTTCATGGTCTTAATATTTCGAAAGTTATTAGTATAAGTTTCAGTTAATTTAAGTGAGACAAGTTCAGATAAATGTATGAGCTGTGATCTTATTCTTTCTCCGCATAGGTAAATTTATTTTATTAATATTGCACATAGGAAATTGAGGTTGTAAACAGGTTTTAATAAAATAACCAAAATAAGAGACAAATAATTTGTGTATATTGTTTAAGAACAATAAATTTATGATATCAATGTATGATTGTAATGTATGTAAAGTTCATTAATTCCCAATTTCTTATAGGAATCCTTGTCATTTGTATATTTGTTGGTTTTATGTGCTCTCGCGTAACACTGTGAAAATTGTCGCAGTAAACTAAATTGTAACATAAATTGTACAATATAAATATTATAGACCCACAATTATGAAAGAGATTAAATATTTGCAAAAGTTAATTTGAAGAATTTTATTTAAACGCGTGACAATTTTTTTTACTAATTCAGTCGTATTACAAAATTAAATTCTACTTTTTTACCGCTACTGTTATTTTACCTTAATTATTTCTAAATTATTTGGTACATATATATTTTTAACATTTTATTCCACTGAACTGGCGTCTATACTGTGGGGACCGGGACCACCATCTGAAACGTGACGGCATTTTTGTTTTTATTATATAACATTAACGCTTATCATTTTTAAGGATAGTTTTCGGGAATCATTTTCAAAGGATGATTATTATACATATAAGCCAAGGGGTACGAGAGACTTGCAAAACGTATGCCGATAGGCAATATCCCGCCTTCGAGAACCTCTTTACCGTCTAACATTGAAAGTGTCCGTATATTTTTTGATATTGGTCGGTGACTGTAGAGATACGTGGTGTTTACAATAATATACTATATTGTACACCAAAAAAGATAAATGAAAAAGTACAAAAAAAATACTTATGAAATTGTCGCAGATGAATTGGTCATCAAAATTCGGTTAAAGTAAGCCATAATTACAGTTATATATTGTTTAGTAATGTGAAGCACTGGTACTGGTTTGGGACGTCTCGCAAACCGAGGTCCTAGGTTGCGATACTGGATTCGCGTGCGTGCGCTGAGTTATTTTTTATAACCAAAAATCACAACTTCACGTTCTCAACACCACCTGTTGATAATTTTGAGAGACATGTGGATAGCACCACTATCTTACTACCCCGTTTGTGTTAAAAAGACGAGAAAGTAGGTAAACTATCACATGCTTGAAGTTCATTTAATGATGACATAACCATTTGACATGCAGGCATTGGATTTAATTCATGAAACACGAAAATTTAAAAATATGTTGTCGTTGGATTGAGTCATAATATATTATGACGAATAATTAATAGATTAGGATCGGACCAAAAATGGACTCTGTTATTATTTTAATATTTCTGCATCCGACAGATATCGTATTATAGTGTTAGTGTAATCGATTTAGGTTTTTAAACTTTTATACGTAACAAGATTTGCGAAAATGATAAATTTCCGTCAGATTGTTTTTACCCTAGACTATTTATGACAAGATACAATTTGAAGCAAGCATTGCTTCAAATGCTAAAAAACAATCTAGATAAAGGAGGTTGAGAATTTCGTCGGTGTGGCAATCAGCCGTTTAGCTTAGTGGCTAGAGCGTCAGGGCGCGAATCCCGATGACGTGGGTTCGATTCCCACGGTGGTGAAAAAGTTTTCGTTCCTTTTTCTACAAATTTTAAGGTAAAAAATTCATCAAAACCTCTTCCAAGAAATTTATAAACGAAGAAAAAACATAATGTCAATGCTTACTTTCCAATTTCGCTTGTACAGTACGTAGATTAGATTTAGCTTTGTCTAGTGCGTCCCCGAGACCAGTCTTTATTTGACTGAATTCCTGAGTAACCAGTGACAGTCTTCCGAGTAGGTAATTCAAATTGTCATTAACTTCCGCCATGCGTGCCGTAATAACACCCACCTGGGAAACGAAACGATCAAATTAATAAGGTTTATTGTGAAACCTTATTTATAGTACAGCAAGGTTCATTTAAACTTACTTTTTCCTTCATGCTTTCCATAGTGGTTGCACTGCCATTAACGTATTGCTCGGTTTGGCCCTGCAAATATATGCGAAGCGATTACCCCGTGTTGATAAATTTTTCAGAGTAGAATTGTGTAGCAAGTATTACCATAAGTATTTTATGTCCGTTTATATTATCGTGTCATGTAATCTAACTGGTAAAAAGGTAATTTAATTTGCTTAATGACTGCTTTGTAGGAGTAATGAATGTTTGAGTTTTGATGAGACATGTATCGCGGATATGGGGTTGACATTTGTTTTTTATATGATAGAGTTAAACACTTGTAATTTTAATATCATCATTCTATATTTTGAAACTGTCTGCTAACCGTAAGTTTATCAAGAGATTCCTTGTTGGCAGTAAGCTGTTGATACATGACTCCAATCTGCCGCCAAACTTGTGTCATCTCTGACTCGATTTTACCCGTTAACGCCATCATTGAACCATTCTGACTGCTGACTATTGACGACTGAGTTTCGTTGATTCTGGGGAGCGGTGAGTTTTATAACATTAAATTTAGATTATTTAGCTTATTACGATAAGCTTTACTTTATGCTCTGTTACACTGATTATTTCCTTTTATTGTCACTCATTGCTAACGTTTGATAGAATACTAAAGCATTTGCCAAGGTCAACTTATCTTTTCTCAATACAAGAAACGTATGGTAGGCTAGAGCTTGATTTGGCTCGTTTAATGATGTATGAATTATTATGGGTGGTAGAAAAGGAATTATTCCATTTATAAACACACAATTACCATCAATTTAGTTTTGGGCATTCATTATTACTTTTAATTTAGAACGACAGGAACCGTCTTCGGCAATATCGTGAACCGTTACAAATCACAATCAAATAAATGAGGTTAATTGTTCCAATGTATTCAATTGAGATTTCGATGGGCCGATACAAAGAAACGAGACAATTGAAATGACGGACAAGCAATGCATAAAAAATTATTTTGTATCTTATTGATACTTTTATTTGGTGCTTTTCTAACTACAAACTTTTTGTCCGAAAAGGATCATATGAGAATAAAGGTATTTCGTAGAAAATATTATTTGATAAACTTAAGGACATCACGAGAGTTAGAATATACGTATTCCAGAGTTTTCAAGTTCTGAATTATAATCATTGGAGGCAGATGAAGTAAGTAAATGGCGCAAATATGAGTCTTTATGTTTAGATTATATATTTGTGCCATTTGCTGTTGAAACTTTAGGTCCGTGGGGCAGGCACATCAAAATTTTTAAAAGTTTATATCTTCGGCTGCGGCTGGTGACAAGAGAGCTGGTTCTTTTCTCGCTCAAAGGTTAAGCATAACTATTCAGCGAGGAAATGCACCTAGCGTTCTTAGCACCATGCCGCGTGGATTAGGTTTATTAGATAATATGTAATTTTAGATAGATTTAATCTGGTAAATATTAGATAAATAAAAATATTTGAGAAATGTTACAATGAAATTATTTTATCATTGTAATATTACAGCAAAATTTCATAAATCAATGAAATAACAATTTTTAAACTGGAGAGATAAAGACACGTTTTCTTGGATGAAACCAACGAAGACGCGTCAATTAATCTTCAATATATGTGGGCCTTTCCTCGTATTTGAAAAAATCCTCTCGGCACAGGCTCATGAGGAGTTGGAATACAGACCTGTCGATTAGAGTTTTGTTCAAATGCTGCGTTTGTCCCTTGACCAATTCTCTCATCTCGAGCAGTATCTGGTGCATGCCGTGGTCGATGCGCTTCTTGTTAGCGATCACGTTGTCGGCAGTTTGCAGCATAACGGGTTCATTCTTGGCGAGTGCTTGGACCTGGTTGTGCAATTCCCGTTTCTACATAACTCATAATATTTTATAGGGATGTAACCGAGGGTGTGTTTTGTTCCCAAGAAGGGTTGACTTCGGCTAAGCGGCATGCAGTATGGTCAAAATTGAAACAAATTTCGTAGAAGTATAATATATTTTACCTCCGTAAGTAGTGTACCGTAGCTGCGCGAGATGTCGTTATAGGCGCGCTCGCTCATAGTGTTGCTCTGTGTCAAGCTGTTCTGAATATCTTCGTTGGTCGTGACCAAGCGTTCGCTCATTTCCCTCAGCTTGTTCATCACTTTCGTTACCGCTACAAAAGTTTTAATGTATCTTATTTAATGAAATTATGAATTGTTTAAAATACACACAAGAATACGAAAATAAAGCAGTCCGTATAATCCGTATTATTAATCCAGGGAAACAATAGATTGTTTACCATAGATAGTATATAGTATATGATAATGTACACTCTTGTAGACTTGGTCTAAAAAATTATAAACACGGTCCATCTGAGAAGTAATAATATATATTCTTACAGTCAAACTCGAGTGAATGAAATCTCGGTAAGCAAGAAAAAACATACTTAGTATACATAGTAGTTATTTCAGGTCACGTCATTTTAAAATTTAAAACCTCAAAAGTGAGAAACAGAAATCTTTATAGGAGATAGTCGCTATAGAATGCCAGTATTTTTGTATTTTTACTCACAGCTATCCTCGAGCTCGGTCATATTGTGTCGGATGCTTTCAATGCCTTCTAGCGTAAGGTTCAAGGCGAGGAGTGATTCTGATCGACGAGGAAGCTCCTTCCACGTACTTTCGGCGTCCGAAAGAAGTTGTTGGATCTTCTTTATTTCTCCTTCTTGACGCTCCATAACTGATGAAATGTACTACTTTATCAACACATAATAGCCGACGTCACTAATAACAAAATTTAAGTTTTTTTTGTCTAAATCATAATGCCCTAATGCCCAAATTTTTTCTCCGTAATTATTGTTTCAATTATGTTATATCTTTGTCGTATTGTATATAATTACCAACCAAACTAAGTACTACAAAATACTTTTTCCTTTTGTGTGGAATGCACAGCGATATCAAAAACTACTTCCGGTCTCCTATTTTATGTCTTTATCAAACTATGTATAACATAAACATGTCTTCGGGCACAACCATAATAGCGCAATGTTTTGAAACTGTATTGATAGTCCTATAATGTTTATATGCATTACAGTACGTTATTAACAACACATTTTTGAAGAGATAAAAAAAAAACAGATGACGGTTAAGTTTGGAATAATCGATATGGACATGTTTAAACTAATCGAAATCTAAAACAGAGTTTCTGCTGCAAAGTATGTGTAATTATGATCGAATCGATTTATATAAAATGGTAATCTCAAGTAGGCAGCATCGGGGAAGGTATAATAAAATTAGTTGATTGCATACCACTAGTCATTTTATTATGCCAGGCTTCGTCCGCTAGGGCGACTTCGCTGAGGGGCACGAAGTCCGTTGGCACTCTGTTCACGGTGTCATTGTATTCGTTCAACTTAAGCTCGTATTTGTTCAATAGCTTCTCTGCCTCGGAGATGTGGCGCTCGAAAGGATTGGCTTCTGCCACGATGCCCATGCACATGGTTCGCAACGAGTCCTAAATGCGTATGGGAGAAATCGGTTATAGAAAGCTTGAAGGGTACTTCGTATGATAATTAATGACGATGATTAAAGTGCAGGGCTACGCAGCTGCCTCGGCTGTTGCACGAATTGACAGGCTCGTCCGGGTAAGTACCACGACCTCACAGAAGACCGGCGTAAAGTGGAAGTGTAACAAATACTTTCACGTTTCGTCTGGTGAGTGAGATAGCCGGAGCCCAACCCACAAAAAGTTGTCAACGCATCCCTCGGGTGTAGCGGATGTCCATGGGCGGCGGTATCCACTTAAAATCCAGGTGGGTCCAATCCCAAATCCGGGCAGGTGAACCTGTGTACGGCTCTGTACTGTGTACGGGAAGGCAATTTTTAATGATCGGTGTAAATATTTTGGCTAGTTCGATTCTTTGAGGATACTTAGAGGATAGTATGTGTGACTCGTAAACAATTGTTCCGAATTTGGGTTATTCTCTAGGAGGATTGATGTTAGGCAGACGGCTAGCCGGTCTTATAAAATGTAGACAATATCTGTAACAACATGCATGATACATAATTATGTTGTGCCGACGGTACCTACATAGGTGGGATAAGGTCTGGAGAAAGAAGAACATGTAAATATTTTTGATGGGCTGAGAAAATTATAATTACCTTGCTGAGACTGGTTTTCAATATCTCAATTTCTTTTTGTATTGCGTCTAATTTCAAATCTGTGTTATCAAGCCGCCTATTCATTGGGTCTTCGTTAGTCGTTAAATTATTTTCTTCCTCCGCTGCCGCGCTGATAGCTTTTATATTTTTGGTTACTGTCGACGTTAGAGATTGAATAGATTTCTTTACTTCATCGAGAGTTTCTTCTGTTTTCTTTCGCTGCGCTTTCTCTCTTTCCTCTTTCTAATTAATAAAGTCTGTTTCAGATTATTGGCTGACATAATAAATAAGCAAAAATATCAATAAGTATAAAGAAAATGAAGTTAACTAATTTTAACTAATTTTATATATAATTATAATTTGAGCAGTTGGTTTGATGTATCAAACCAACTATTAAATTACATTCGACGATGAAAAACATGCATTTTCTTATGCCACGCAATCAAGAAGTTTTCTCTATATCTATTAAGTGATTGTGATAATCCATCGAATTTTTAGAGTTTTGCGTTTTTAAACATTTAGTTGTTACTTCGACAAGTATAACAGAGTGCATAATTTGACCTAAAAGAACGTGAACTCTAGTAGAGTAGGTGCCTACCTATTCTACTAGAGTACGTACCTACCTACATTACTGCGCTGATCTTACTGTTAGTGCAATAAATGCGATAAATAAGATTCATTCAATACTCTGCGCTAGTTGATACACAATTATTTATGTATTAAAAGAAACCTGTTTTGTTTTTTACTTAATCTAAAAATTGATTTTAATCATATGAAGGAGTCAAACAAGAACAATACAGTTTTCTTACATTGTGTATACTACGTTATTCTACCTCGATAAAGTTTCCCATATGGAAGGTATATGATAATTCTTATAATTGATAAAATATGATAGCCTACAAGGACCGATAAAACAAAAATGCTTAGTCGGTTTACACAGGAATGTGTTGTGCGCGTGGATAGAATCGACGGTGGACTAACGACCGGTTTGTATATTTTATCCATAGATAGATTTGGTTACTGGAGATAGAATTTTGACATAAGTGTTATGGAGCTAATGTCAAATACCTATCGGTAGTAACCAAATCTATATGTAGATAGAATTGAAACCGGCCGTAAGAGAATTCACCTGGAGAAGTATAGTCTCGACGTTGGACAGACGCTCGTCCAGCCTGGACACGATGCCCTTTATGGGCTCGAGCGCTCGGTGCCTCTTCTCCAGGCCGGCGACCATCTTCTTGAGCTGATCGCCGAAAGTTCTCTCGCGGAACTCGTGGCGCTCGAGCTTGTCCTCAGACACTCGGAACATGTGTATCAGCGACAGCATCGCGTCGCGAATGTCCTCCGTCCTATATTAGCAATGCATTATGGGTGCTTATTAATAATACTAGCTGTGCCCGCGACTTCGTCCGCGTGGAAATTAAAATAAAAAAAATCTAAAATAAAAGTAGCCTAAGTTACTCCTTATTACATCAGCTATTTGTCAGTGAAAGTCCCGTCAAAATTGGTCCAGCCGTTTCAGAGATTAGCCGGAACAAACAGACAGACAGACGGACAAAAATTGTAAAAATTGTTATTTTGGTATATACCGTGTATACATCCATACGCAATTAGTAAAAAGCGGTTATTTGAATATTACAAACAGACACTCCAATTTTATTTATCTGTATAGATATAGATAAAGCTTTAACATTCCCATTTCTATTCCTTGTTGTCTTAACTTTTAAGCTACTATTATTTATTTATATTTTTTTGAATTTATATATCTTCTAACAAATTGTTTTGTTTCTGTCCAGGTATGTCAACCAGTCAAACATGATGTTCTAACTACCGTACAAAATCCTACTCTACTGGGCAATTATATCACTTACTATTTGTTTTATTCAACCTTTACATTGGCAGAATCATCAAGCTATCCTGTTGGAGCCATTACATCAAGAATTGAATTGAATTGAATATGGATGCTTAGTGACTATCGGGCTCTGTTAAAAGAATTTATTGTTACGGCTTATCTGTGCTGTGACGCTTTATCATTACCTATGGTTTTCCTGACCTATTCGACTAATTACCATACGAATACGTTTGTTGATTGTGCTATCCGACGAAAACGATATTCTAATTCTGCCATGCACTTAATATACGTCAAAATAGTTTGCTGGAAGTATAACACCCAAAGCAACAGTAATACGAGAATTTTAAAGTAATTTAATTAATTTCTAAATATATCAAATTTTTATTTGAAATGCATGCTTGCGACAGACGTTTCGGTTTATTTGTTGCCGCTACAGTGGAAGCTTTGAAAGGGAAATATTTGCAAAACAGTGAAGTTTGTGTGTGTTCAACCTTAACTTTAACAGGTCTAGCGACGGCAATGAAATTCGTCTAAGCATTAACCTGAGCTATCGGCCGGTGTCCAGTTCTTTGGTGCAAAATGTTTTTTCTACAATCTTCTGACTGATATAGCTAAACGCACGTCAGTTCTCTAACAGTGGTTGTGATGTGATAAGAATCAAATCATAATATTTATATATTGATAATAATAAGTACTCATCGGAGGAGTCACAACTGCGTAAGTAGGCTTTATTCCTAGAGATCCTTAAGTCGTATCGGCAAAGTGGCAATGCGTGCCAGAAAATTGCATGATGCACAATGGTGGACCAATAATCAAGTTGGTTTCGATAGTATTTGGTGGCTTTACAAGTTGAACGATGATGAAACTCAGCAGCAGATATTAAGCAGTTCTTCGCAGCACTCTCCGTGATAAATGCAATAGAAAATGCAAAGACATGCAAAACCTCGCAAGGTCAAAGGGTCGAGGCGTTGACGATCAGTTCTTATCTGACTTTTCAAGCAGCTGTTCGGTGGAAGCGGTCTAGATGAGAATATCAATTTCATGAGTGTTTTCATTTGTACTTTACAGAGCTGTAAGCGGCGGGCCCGCAGTAGACACGGTTTTTCTTTACTTAGGACACCGAGGTTTTTAAATGCTAAAATAGAGTACACTTGATATTTCAAAGCCAAGAATTTTGATTGAAGTCTCCAGCAGCAAGAGATCTCCCAAAAAAAAAATCAATAGTTTTCTCTTTTCGTTAAACGGGCAAAACTGTGTCTTTTAGGATTAAATTGGACTATATTTAGTCTGCCCCAATCCTAGATTTTGATTATTGCGACACACGTCATCGTGTTCCAGAGGAATCATTTACCCAGCTGATATATAAGGCGTCACCCATAGCGCCATCCTTAACGCCATTCTCACAGCTAGGAATGATGCAACAAGTCAACGATATGCACAATTATTATTATGCATGTATTGCTTGGTAGGACACAGGCGTTTACGGGTTTAGCGTCAGAGCATGCACCGTCAACGATGACCTTGATGCTCCGATAAGTAAGAAAACTGTCCAGTTGCATAATTTCTCAGAAAGCCGGTATGAAGTGATCTTAAAGAAATGTTTTATACCAAACCCGATCGAAATCATTAGCTACGTCCAAACTAACCGCTAAGGCCTCACCATTAGTCTCAATTGCCTCCAGCCATCGATGAGTCAAGTAGCACAGAAGATCACTAGCTTAGCAACACTGACAGAAACCATATTGACAATTGCTAATCAGCTGGTATTCACCAAAGTACCTAAGGAGTTGACAGTTAATTATTCAGTCTCCATTATTTTAGAGAATAAAGTGGTTACGTCAATAAACCTATGCAAAAAACCGAATACGATGGATCCAAGCATTCATAATTTTTAGCGATTAGGAACACTAAAGCTTCCCCGGGGGAACAGCAAGTCTTCCCTTAGAATATTATGGGAAAATACAGAAGGAGTAGGCGTTATGATGTTGAGTACCAGATATGATGCGTCAAAACCGGTGCGAGCTCGGAAGCACAAGTCTTTAACACAACCAGGGAATCCGTCGGGCTGCTCAACTTTTGGATGTCTAAGGAGAAAAGTGATTTACGCATGTTACTCTGCAGAAACCTATTTTTTTAATTAAATTATTTAAATAGCATTGCGTGTTCACACCGCGGGATGGTCGTTGACGCGTTGCATTTATCATTAAGTATCGAGTTAGCGAAAACAAGGCCCAAAAGTTCACCTTTCTTTTTAGCGGTGTGGGCTAATAAGTCATTTCTCCTGTACTGTATACTGTTGAAATGGAAAAGATGGTGATGGAACCGGCCTTAGCGAGAGACCAGAATGCATTTATTCCCGAAAGAACGCGTGCCCATCTTTCGCCAATTTTGCCAATGTGCAAACCTTGCTGATGCGACATCTCTTTAGAATGACCCACAAGCAAAATTTACACCGTTTTAAATAGCTTTTATTGGCATCCCTATACGTCACCTTAAAGATTCAACATTTCCAGTCTGCTGACCTGTAGTCACACGGTGGAAACGTCCTAAGCGCGAGAGTAATTTAACACATTCGAAAGCCGTGACCAGCTGTGTCCAATTATTCGCCATGGATCAAGTCGTATACAGATCTTTCCGCATGATCAGTAGTAAGTGAACCTGGCCAACAGGAGTGGTGGGCGATTTTCTGTGAGGCCGTGGTACTTACACGGTTTGAGCCGTGGTAGGGCCACGAAGCAGCTTCGGCTGTTGCACGAATGGGCAGGCCCGTCCGGGTAAGTACCACGACCTCACAGAAGACCAGCGTAAAGTGGAAGTATGACAAATACTTTCGCGTTTCGTCTAGCTGGAGCCGATTTTTCAAAAAGGTTGTCAACGCATCTGTAACCCTTTGGGTGTGGCAGATGTCCATGGGCGGCCGTATTCACTTTACATCAGGAACCGTCTGCTCGTTTGACAACTTTTCGCATACAAAAAAAAAAGCCCGCCCATTCGACAATAGCAAAAGACGATGCGTGGCTCTACACTGAAAAGGTACGTACAATTTCTGCTTTCACAACTCCTCTAAAACGCAGCAACTCCGCTCCTAAACGGAGGTAATTGATACCCCACCATAGAGGTAATTCTTTTTTATGAAGATATTAACACATGTAAATTTATGCATAGGAGTCGTGAACACAAACTGCCTGTGGCTCACAGCGCAGCGATGAGCCAGGTTATAAGACAAAATACAATTACATAATAACGTACGCACTCATTACGTAATGTCCCTAAGTTTCGAACAATGCGACTTGCGTCGGGAGAAAGGTGACAAGTTGTGTAACATTGCTAAGTACTAAGCTTTGCCCACTTTTATTCAATCTTACACCGCTAAGCAACTTATGTAACGACTGTCGAAAATAAGAAAAGCTCGTATTGCTCGTACACAAGACCAGTAGCGGGTATTTATAAATTGGAGCGAGGCTTGGGCGCGAGTGCATTTTAAGAGGACAGTGTGGAGAGGATGTGGCTAAAATAGATTTAAGTAGTCGATCCGTATACAGTTTTGTTTTGTTATTGAATAACAGTTTGTTTTAAATTTCATAAACACGTTTTTATTAGAAGACTATGAACATGCCAAATACGACGTGCATTTCTTTCTTAAGCTTTAAATCTTATATTTAAAGCATGTTGCGCGTTCGGTGTTCGTGTAGTTGAAGTTATAGTGAAGAAGGTGCCGAAAGTTGTGTAGTAAAAGTTACAAATACATAAAATTTTACTTATAAAAAAAATCATTCTTTACTTAATCATCATCATCATCATCCTCCTTGTAGTAATCGAATCGACTACCACCGACGCCGAAGCCAATTGCTTAGCAACGGCGTCGTATATGCTGTATTTATGCATCACGTAATATATGTCAAACAATATTGTAGTGTGATTGAATTTCGGTTATTGGGTTCACATCAATTTATATTAATATCCACCGAAATACAACAAACATTATGTTATTGTAAATGCGTAAGTAATTAATTTTATGGAATAAAAATTTAAACAAGAACTTTTGGCACCGCGGGATTCAAACATGCGTCTTCTGGTTTCGAGCCCAGACGCTTTATACACTAAGCTAAGTGGCCAATGACCTCACGGCGTGGATATTACACCCTAACTACCTACTAACCTAACATTTGTATATGACCTTGAAAAAAACCTATTTATAATTTCACAAATTGTCCCAAAGTTAACGAGCAGTGTTTTTCCATTTTAATCTGTTTACGGAAAATTTGAGAGTTTTAGTAAATCATTACATTCCTCAATATTTACATTCAATTCAACGTCTGATATAAGATAGATATGACGTTCATATCACCTTTGAATTTTGATCGTAAAACATTTTGTAATCAAAACTTCTTCGCCCACACCGTAATAAAATCTTCACATAAAAAGATCAATGATCCAGTCATTTGAATAATCCATCGGCGTTTCTATTCATAGGACCGTGGAGTGGAGAAGTGGACGTCCGCGTACGGGCGTTATCGTGGTACCCATTAGCCGTTCAATGGAGATTTATTGCATTCTATCGACCCATGATTTATTGGGGATATATCTATTCGCTGCATTATTTATGCTTCACTACCGGTGTCCGATGAAACAAGTGCGTTAAGTATCGAAGTCAGACAGTACGTGCCCACTAGGGATGGAGGGCAAATATTTTTATGATTTAAAATTGAGCACAACTTGCATATTTCTTTGAGCGTGAGACTACTGGGTATCGCAAATATATTGGAAAAATTATCTGTGATAGAAATGATGCGTCAAATGTTAAATAGGGAAATAGGTCGTAATAAACGTAGCCGAATTACTGTTGTGCCGACCCCACAAGGCTAGAACGATGATGATAATTTATACATTATTAGGTCAGAGAAAAAATTTTCTTCGTGTTTTATGCGAAAAATTATTTAAAGTTTATTATAAATGCCATTTTATTATAATATAAATGTGTCATTTCGTTCGATAACTAGTTGCAATTTTTTGGTACTAAAGTAAAGTAAAGTAACAGCCTATCAATGTCCCACTGCTGAGCAAAGGCCTCCTCTGTAAAGAAGAGCGTATCAGGGCATAGTCCACCACGCGATGGGGTCTGCGGATTGGCAGACTTCACAGCATATTTGGAAAATATGCAGGTTTCCTCACGATGTTTTCCTTCACCGCTGAGCACGTGGTATGTCAGCACTTAAAATTAACAATTTTATTGGTGCTGGCACCGGGGATCGAACTCAGTTTGCTCGAGTAAATAGAATTAAAGGCGAGCGCTCGGAAACTGAGCTATCACGGCTTTGATAGTGACAAGAAAATTTGACTTCCGATAAATAATGCGACAAGTAGTTTTGAAAGTCCACTCCTTGACTCTTTATTATTTGACGACCCCACCTAAGCGGGATAAGGGCAAGATGACGATGATGAGATGTAAGTAAAATTTCCTCAAGAACTTTACAATATCTGACAGCTTTTTTATGTAAGTATCTTATATTAAGTGAAACCTGGTTAAGTGAGAAATCAAGGGACCTATTGCAAATTGATTTGCCTGCAAATTTGTCACACCTATAGAGGTACCACTTACCCAATATTAATTAATATTTGTCTCATTTACAGACGGTTGCTGCTTACAACCATTGGTGCTACAAAAATTATGATTTCCGAGCCTTCGCGCAAAATCTTGTGCCTTTTCTTTAATCATTGGTCCACTTACCGGAACGTTTTTGTTACGAAGTTGCTTGTTACCCATGTTAGCAAACACTGTTCAAGTTCAGGATATTCTGATAAACTTATACGTTTTAGTTTTCTTTGTCCTTCAGAACATTGTCATTGAAATCTTTGTTCTGAATTATTGTGCGTGTCTTCCCACTTTCATAAACGGATATTAACTTCAGTTTTTCACGTACTGATTACGATTTGAGCCTAATGTTGGTAATGCAAAACTAAAACTGAAGGTCACTGAGGCTCAAAACAAGTTGAGTGCGGAATTTGTGGGTAGAGTAAGAATAAGTATGTTAACAAACAAAACGATGTTATTTCAGTTACAGAGGTTAATACATATAAAATTCACCCGCTGTCTCATTTATAGAGGTAACTATGACGATAAAATCGAAAAAACAAATCCCAGATTTTTCCCATATTCAGATCCCACATTCAGTGCCAAAGTGTTGGGATCTCAGCATGAGTTCCACTTATGGAGTTTTCCCACTTATCCAGGTCCCGCTTAACCAAGTTTCACTGTATTACAATATGTGTTATAAATGTATTGTAGATCTTATTATCTTTTTTCATACAATGTTTTCAATGCAAAGATGCTTAAACTACTCGATGTATTGAAATTGCTGAGCTTCAACATTAGCCGAAAACGAAGTTTTATTGTTTTACAAACACTGGAAAATATCGCTGGGCTAAGAACGTGGCGTTAAATTATGGTTAAAGGGTTCCACCGCGTGCCTGAACGTGTGTTGTTATTGTGTTTAACACATCTTTACGACCGACATTAATAGTTGTAGTTGTGTTTGTTTTACCACTTTAAAAACCGTTAGAATTGCGTTCACTTTAAAGTTCAATGCACTTTATTGACATTAAAGAAACGTGAAAATTACGAGAAGATTAATTTATTTTCCAAAAAGCAAACTCAGCAACAGTGCTCGGAATAGCTTATTTTTATCAGCAATACACATTCACACACGATATATGTTTAAATAATGATCGATAACTTAAATGGAAATAAATATATATCTCATATAGCTACGCGCAGCACCGTGGTTCATGCGTAACATTTACACACATAAGTTGAGAAGGGCCTACCATCGCTCAATTCCTAAAGTCGGCGTCGCGTCGCTATTTCGAGTCCGCCGCCGCGCATCACAATCCTATAGTCGTAGGTCGTAGGTACTGTCTCCTACAAACCCCTATCGCTAGCTGTGTTCTGCCGCAGATGGCTTAGACCACGACACGTCCTCGATTTCCCTGGCGATGAGACGACCATCGCCATCAACCGAATAAAACAACTGCGTGAACACAAGACACACCGCACTCGCCGGCGAGTGCAGCAAACATATACTAGGTCCCGGTTAATGATAGAAGCGTTGCTGGAGTTTCTTCTGCCACTTCTTCTCCCAGCGCCATTGCTTTCCGAAGTGGTAGTAACGATAGCTTTAGAAATTCTCCTAGTCAGACTACAGCTACCGATCGAGCCGAGCTACGGCCCTCTCAGGCACCCTCGAATCCCTCGAAACCCTCGAGTTACAGCCCAAGCTGAAGTCGCCTCGCAGGGGCCCTTGATCCTACTTTTACGTTACTCCATGGAGCGTCCACCAAAGAGACCTAAGCACTTGGTGGCCTTCCACACCAGCGAAAATAATAACAGTGGGACGGCCCGAGCCGAGGCTCCCTCGGGAGCTTAGTCACCCTCAGCGCCCGGCCTCCTCAAGCCCAGTGTATCTGCAAAGGACTCACCAAGGCAAAGTGGTCTATCCAGCCAATATATATTTCATGTCTATATCATAAAACCATCTATTGTTAATGAAGAAATAATCTCTTTCCACACTTAAATTTAATTGCTTCACGTTACTAGATTATTATCGCAAAGAGGAAATGCAACAATACTTACGTGACATTCCGACAGTATGCTGTTGGGCTCCATATTAGTAATATCGTGAAGGTCACTCCCCAAAGTCCCTGCGGAGAGAAATATTATTGAATTAGTGTTGTATTTGTGGACTTCGTTACGTAATTTTGCATACTGCCGTACCATATGATATTACGGTAATATATCACACAAGCGGTCATTTTCAAAATATCACTATTTTACTTTACCTTTCTAATAATTAGAAAGGTAAAGTAATATATTTGAAATGAAATTGTTATTATTAGCGTATAAACATGACATATACTGCGCAGATTATTACTGGAATAATAAACTTCGAATGTGATTTTCTAGTGTCGTCGAGATATGAGGGTTAGGTTATCGTTTGATCCCGTTTCTCACTTATTTCAGTTAGTAAATAAGTTTGCCAACGGCAACTAGAGTCTAATGACTTTTTTGTTTTCGTTCATACTAACATTTCTGTAAGAAGAATGGTGTGCATTTCACTGTTTGATATACTCGTACATGTCTAATTTTTTTTCAAAGATGAACGCGCTTTTTATCGTCTCCATGTTTCATATTACCACAAACTATTTAATTTAACGTCAATGGCAATAATCATAAGATTTAAGAAAATATAAAAACACATTATTAACGGTTATTCATTGATATTAGCAGTGAATATTGCTTTTTGATCTTCTTTGTCAGTTTTAATTAATGAAATTTGTCACAACACGACGTGTGTTAATTAAAAGGAACTTGTCCGTCATATGCAGAAGAGTCATTATTAGCTCTTAGGCGGTTGCCGCAGCGTTTCTAGCGGCATCACGAGACATTTTCTAAAAATAATTTGTCAGTTTTAACTATTTATGTTCGCGTTTAATTTAGCTCATGCAAGGCGACACTTCTGATTATTTTCTTTCGTTCCGTAGACCAGTATCACTTGTCACTGTCTTTCAGTTTTGCTAGTGCCAGAGTAACTAATAATATTTCCGACTGGTATACCTATTTCCATTTTAAGGTATAAAACAATAAAGGAAATACTTTGTAAATTATGGTGCCATAAGGGATGTAAGTTGAAGTCCTTTGTAGTGCTTTTTGCAGTGCTTTCACTGCCAGTTTGCAGTGAAATATTTTTTGTATAAGTTAAAACGTTAACAGTTGGACATACAGGATTTCCATTTTTAAATTTATAAGCTTCCCTAACAGTGTGTATAGAATTAGCCCCTCCTACTTTTCACATTAATTCTTTATTTGGAAGAACAACAGATACTGTAGATTATATTTTTAAGAATAATTAATATGAAATAATCATGAACATTTAAATTATTGATAAATATGAAACAATTAAGCCAATTACTCTAGGCAGTGTGCCAAGAAAGCTAACTGTATTTAGGGTGCGCTGCCGTTACTTACAGTTCCTAATATTCACGAGATGATTCATAATTCCGAAGTAATGAAATCTAATTTTACATAGTGTATTAACTATTTGCTACATTATAACATACTAATTTGACAATGGGCTTTAGTAATACAAATCATGACTTCGTGGCTCAGTTGCTAATGTGTTGGCTTGGGCGCCGGGGTTGTGGGTTCGATTCCGACACCTTGTGACCCACAGATAATTTTCACACAGTTTCGAATCAGGGTGTTTGTCCACGTGAAATTTGTGTATATAAAACGTGCTTACAGCACAGGTTCATGTTATCCTACAGTAAGGGGATAGTGTTTTCGAAGGGAAGACTACAAAAGACCTTCTAGTTCGCAGTGGTCATCGGGACATACTATTCAACTCCTACAACACAAATTACAAAAAGTAATACAGTAGCTTTGATGCATTCCATGACGAGCTTTACCATTTAAATTTAAATAATTGTTTTAACCCGGCTTAGCCTGTCATAATATAAGCAATGATTTCATAATGTTTCTACGGTTACATTACTTTTTATGTAGTACAGTTAATATAACATACAAAAATTATGTTCAAAAGCTAAATTAGCAATTTTAGTAAATAAATGCCTAATAACCACGAATACGGTGTCGTGGTCATCTTTTGCATGCCAGAAGTCAAACTTTAACGTATATTTTTCGAAACTGATTTATAAAAATTGAGGTTTTAGTTGCACTAAATAGTTACTTGAATTGCACAAGATATTGAGCTATATCTTCGGCGCTCAGGAATAATGTAACTTTCCATCAATTATTATTATGTGTTTACTATTATGGCCCTACTTGTTGACATTTTTTTACTTTAACCTATTTGTTTTTATAGGCAGTTAACGTATTTTCATTTTCAATGAGTATCATATAAATCGGACGTGTGGTTCTCTTGTAATGAACGAACAGAATGATAGAGAGATACCTCGCTTAATATGTATGGAAAGAATATTTTTATATTGCGAGATCCTAAAAGACGTACGGAAATAAACATAATAAGCTCTAAGGCCTCCTGTCTCATTGGTCTTAAACGCGTTTACTAGTTATCGCTCTCGTTGTCGTGCTTCTAAGTAAGACTAAGTACTGGTAAGTTTAAGTACAACTTTAGCTCTTAGCCAGCCAAGTCAATGTCCATTGATTATTGACGCTATTTAAGTTATGCATTGGTAGACATCTTCCTCATAAAAGTAAGTAACAGCCAATACATGTCCCACTGCTGGGCAAAGGCCTCTTCTATACAGAGGGTATCAGGGCATAGTCCACCACGCGGCCCCACTGCGGGTTGGCGGACTTCACATATTTTCGAAATATATATTTTTTTTGTTATTATTTCGAAAATATGCAGGTTTCCTCACGATGTTTTCCTTCACCGCGGAGCACGTGATAAGTCAGCACTTAAAGTTAAAAACTTCATTGGTGCCGGCACCGGGGATCGAACTCAGGTTGCTCGAGTATATTGAATTAAAGGCGAGCCCCGGACACTGAGCTATCACGGCTCCATATATATCTTCCTCATATCAGACCGTATTAAAAATAAGCCAGTATCAACGTGCGTTGCTTGAAATGTAAACATATTAATGCATAAGTCAATCATAGAACAGGTATGTCGTGTTGTAACATCATATTAAGTTTAAATTGATTCTGTTGATGTAAATTTACTAGCTACGAGCTTGCAACGAGTTACAGCGACGTTAAATGATAGTTTAATTTACTTTGAAATAGTAATTTTTCGTCATAATGATGCACAGAAAAACCAATCATTTTTTAAAGGATTTCGATATGCAATTAGTGAACAAAATCGCGCATTATTCTGGAATATTAACTGGAAATGTTTAAAAGTCAAAATAAAAACGCGATAAAATCCGTAAACTTGTTTCATTTAATATGTAAATGGTTCTCAAAAACCATTGCTATTTTAAGCATGAACATGAAGTTGGCGCTACATTAATAAGGTTCGATTCCCAGTCGACAGGTAGAAATTATTGGTCACGCTGACCAATAAGTTCGTGACTCTATTTCTGGAAAACTTTTTTATCCAATTAGGACCAAAGGACGTTGGAACGTGCACACACAGCACTGTGATTTTATAACAGCGTCAATTAAGGTTATCATATTTTATGAAGACAGACTAGGCGCTACTCGTAGGACTGAAAAGTAGGTAGGAAGAGTTTCTATGTCAACTACTACTACTATATATACTATATACTACTATATACTATATATACTACTATTTACTATAATACTACTATATATTGCTTTTAGTGCTTTTATTGTAATCTATTAAATTATTCTTTTTTTTATTATTTGAAAAGTATCTGTTTTACTTTGACAAAAGTTTTCCTATAAAGCCACCGCAGAGATAGCGGTATGGAGGCCATATTGAACATTTATGCACAATATTAATTTGACGAAAACAGCAGCTTACTTACAAATTGAAGAAAATAAGTCAATGTGGGCTACTCCGTAAAATAAAACGATCGTTACGAAGAAATCTGGTCAATTTTAAGAATTATTGTACACGACATGAAAAGTTAAGGTCTTTAGATATTTTTCCCGTATATCTTAAAGAGACCCTTCTCTGTACGTGTCATCATTATCATCATTATAGGCCGTATCGGCCCACTGCTGCGCATATCTCTCTTGTTAGGGATGGGCAAGTAAAAATGAAATATCGATATTTATCGTATTGACCTTTTTAAAAAAATAACGATAATTATCGATTGAAAAATATCGATATATCGTCAGATTTCGCATGATTATTGAAGAAAGAATAACATGAAGAAAATGGTTGAATTTTTTTTTAGTTTTGAGGATGTGCGAGGAGCATGCAAAGAGTTTCTAGTAACATTAAACACGAAACCAGAGTTGCATTAAAAAATATGTCGAAATTGACACGAATTCGATAGTCTAAAATAAATATCGAATATCGATATGTCGCGATAAAAAATATCGACGATAATGTGATCGTGATCATCACGATGTCGTCAACCCGCCGGTGTCCAGCTGACTCCGAGGTCCGTAGGGCTCTACTCGATCTGCTGTCATTACTCATAGCAACGTTTTCTTCCCAGCTTCATTTAACAGTGTTATCCACATTGCGGTATTGCGATACCCTTTGTATTGGCCACAATTCTACATCAACTGTTTCAGTATATGGATATGATCGATAGTGGAATATCTTGTACGTAAACCAGTCTGTTCAATGGCTTGGTACACATAGTCTGACACAGAGTTATAGCAAACACTGCCAATGTGAGAAAGAAGACTTGGTCGAATATTTCCTAGCTTTGTCGCCTTTTTATGGAAAATGGTTACTATTGTGTTTTTTCACCTTTTTTGCAATGGCACTTCACCTCCTGACAGTATAAGCTCGATGGATATGCCGCCCATACCTAGTGATGTTCACATAATATGTATACTTATTTGACGGCTAGTGCGCAGAATAGGTACTAACCAGAAAAAAAATCTATATAGAGAACTATATATCCATATAGTTCTCTATATAGTTTTTTTTAACTATATCCTAGTCCCTAACTACATTAAATATAGCAAATATAACATCTAAGACATCATTTTCATACCTAATCGTTTCATGAAGTATACCAATTGACGTCAAAATGTTACGTACGTTTGGCTATAATCTTAATGCGTTTAG